CCCTCTCCCAGCCTGGATGCCTGGCAATGATTGTGTGTTCTTGGTGTGTTCCAGCTGACCACATCGGCGCGTTCCAAGTGAACGTTTTAGCCGATAAGTTCCCAAGTGGCGCGGTTGCGCAGATAAATTTGATTGTTGGCTCAGGTGAATGTTTGCAATTCTGCTTGGTAACTGACCATGCCATTTACAACTTCATCTGGCGTCAGCGCTAATTTGTCAAATCCACACAGATGGTCGCCGTGAGTCCAAAAAATACGGCGATGCCGCGCTAGCCGCGCGATAGCAAGGCGCTAGCGCAGTGGTCAGCTGTGACCGGTTGCCTCAGTGCCAATTTGCTTCCGCTCTCCTTGCATGCAATTACCATAGAATGCGATTTGCTGGACAAACGGGAGGCAAAACGGCAGGCAAGAAGGCGGATGCCTTGTACGGAGCATACGGCAGAATTGGGTTCGTATTCCTCTGCGAAAGCATATGCTTTACTGAATCGATACGAAGCGAGAAAGAAGCGCAATGCGCCGGACAGCTTGTGCTAAGATGGAGCCTGTAAATGCTGGACACGCGCCCGATACTGATAGTATTAGCAGTAGTAGCAGCAGCAGCAGGCTTGCGCTAGCAATGTGTTGCAAAATTGCTAGATTGATCGTAAGCGAACACTACTTTCCTACTTGGAACACGCATATAGTGGAATAGCGCCTCACAGCCGGCTTCACGAACTTGATTTATGTGTCGCACAGGCTTGCAGAGCAGAGAATATAACTATGTGAACACATTTTTGTTGTTTAGGTGAACGCATGTGTGCTGCACAATTGTGTTGCACGTGCACATACGTGTGTTCCATGTGTACACATCTGTATATGTGTGTTACAAGTCTCAGCACAGAAGGTTGTTCTGGTTAAACACCAGTGTTGCGCGTGAAGACAAATGCCTGTTTCAAGATGTATGCGTACACGTGAACCGTGTACACATTTGTGTGTTCACGTGTGCACACATGTGCGTTCCAACTGGACACGTGTTTGTGTTCCAGGAACACGTGACATTTATCAGACGAACACGTGTGTATATGTGTATCTGTTTGCATTATATATATCGTATACATATGTGCTCACGTGTACAGCAGCCAATGTTCCATGTACACGTATGCATTATTCCCGATATACACGTTTGTATTCCGCGATATTGCACATGCGTTCCAACGTTTTTCGTGTGTTCCAGGAGAACACGTGTTTTTGTTATCGGATGAACACGTGTGTGTGTCCATACATGTATGTGTACAAATATTTTTGCATGTGTGGTGTGCAGTATTACTTTGCGTGTGCGTTCCAACTGGACAAGCGTGTTTGTCTTCCAGCTTACGTGTTTGTTATCTGAATGAACACGCGTATGTGGTAATGTGTATACATTATTTCCAGAGTATGCAACCTTATATGTGTGTGTGGCGTACATATGCGTATTTCACGATAATACCTGATTGTTGTGTTCACGTGTGCACACATGTTCGTTCTAACTGGACACGTGTATGTGTTCCATGAGAACACATGTGTGTTATCAGATGAAGTGCTCCGCATGCACATGTATGCGTGTTCACGTGTACGCATATGGGTGTTCCACGTGTAGACATTTGTGTGTTCACGTGCGCACATGTGTGTACCGGACACGTGTTTGTGTTCCAGGAGAACACATGCATGTTATCAGATGAACACGTGTGGGTCCGCTCCGCATGCGCATATATGTGTGTTCATTTGTACACATATGTGTGTTCCACGTGTACACATGTGTGTGTTCACGTGTGCACACATGTGTGTTCCAATTGGACACGTGTTTGTGTTTCAGGTGAACAGATGTGTGTTCCACGTGAACACATTACTATGTGCTAGGTGAACATGTTTTTGACCTGACGACATATTTGCTCTCCATGTGTACACATGTATGTGCTCCAGAAACCACATGATTGTTATCGAGGTGCGCGCATGTGTGTGTGTGTGTGCGCTTTAGGTGAACATTTATGTTTGCTCACGCGTGCACGTATTATGTGTGTTCCACGTGTGCACACATGTGTGCTTTAATCGCACACGCGGTGTTCCTGGACACATATTTGTGTTCCAGTGGTATACATGTGTGTGTCCCACATGTACACACATGTATGCTTTAATTGCACGTGTTTGTGTTCCAGGTGAACACACGTGTGTTCCACGTGTACACACAGGTGTGCCTGAATTGGACCCACGTTTCATCGTGTTCCAAGTGAACACATGTGTGTTCCACGTGAACACATCAGCGTGTCGTAGGTGAACACGTATTTGTGTTCCAGGTGTACACGTGTGTGTGTGCTTTGCAAGAAGCACCCGTTGGTTTTCCAGTTTAACGCGTGTATGCGTGTGCCGCATGTAAACGTATATGTGTGTGTTCACGGGTGGATATCTGCGCGTGCCGCGTGTACTGTTTCAGTCGTATACATATGTGTGTTCCACATGTACACACACATGTGTGTCTGAATTGGACATGTGTGTCTGAACTGCCCATGTGACCGCGCGCTTGCGCAGCCACACTTGCGTTCAGCGCGCTTGCCCAACCTCAGTTCCTGCGCGGTGCTGAAGCGCGAAGCGGGCCAGCAACACACTTGCAGCAACGCAACGCGTTCCGGGTTCTGTTGAAGCGCAAAAAGCCACAAGCTGTTGGCATGTATGTGCTTGCCCGTCAGTCCTCAACTGTTTGGGGTCTCTGCTGGTGTAATTTTTAGGGGACCCCTTTTGGTACATTCTTTCGAGCCACAGCCCTATCGCAGCAAGTGCTGTGCACACGAAACTCACTTGGCCTGTGACCAGCCAAAATAAAGTGCATACTTTTGGGCCACCACTAAAAATCAAGCCTTGGATAGCCACCAAGGAAAAAAGTATAAGTGCGCCCACTGGCTGGCAGGGTGAGGAAAGAAACTGAGTGGATGGCTTTTGGTTACTTGCCAGCTCCTAGCAGGCATCCTTACATTCTACACCTGAACATTGCAACTTGTCAATGGTGGCTTCCCTTCACTTTGGGTGGAAAACGCCATGTTTCAAAGGACCAAGACGTATTTTTTAAGGAGCCCTGGCCTAGGCTTCTCAGAAACTCGGGCCCTCTCGACCTCAGATCTGAGATCGCGGCCATTCCAGCGGCTTGCCCCCGAAAAAGTTAATTCCCTTCGCCGGGAAGAACGTCTCTCTCAATGACTCAAGTTCTACATCCTTTGGGAAAGCAAATATATTTCAGCTCAACCTAAAAATACGCCAAACAACTCATGTTAAGAGTATGTTTAGATTTAATCTACCCAGGCCCTAAATATATAGCCCGGGTCTTGAGGAGACCGCAAATGTAGGTATGTGAGCAACTGGTGGTGTTCTTTCGGTGTTCCTTGAAACTCACTTGAAACGTCTTCCTTTGTTGGAGCCCGTTTTCGTGTTTCTCCAAATGATGCTCTTTTGGTATGTTAAAGGAACACGGACAGGAATCCAACCTCCGGGGACTTGAGGTTGAGAAGCCCTCGTCACATCGCCCCAGCGGCATGAAACCATCGAGCCGCCTAGTCGCAGCGGTGGCTGCAAGGGGGGCGCAGAGCAGCGGCCTGCGAAGCTGGCGGTTTGGAGTGAGGCGGGATCGGTCCCATTTGCCCTCAACCAGGGCTTCAAATCCAACTCCAAACAATCCAAACCACCAAATATTTTCGGGTTGCCGAGCTTTAGTTGCCTGAATTTTGGGGTGGCGACCAGTTATTCGACTTTCTGGGAAGAAGGGCATAAAAGGTCAAAGCCTGGCAATGATAAGGTTGTTAACCCCGGGCAAACTTGAGGAAACTCAAGCCAAAGCCGAGGTTGCTGGGCACAGTGCAAGACTCGCACAGCTTAGATGCGGTCAACGGCCATACGCATGCTCCCAGTAAATTGCTTCAGAGTTCCCTTGGGTTCGAAGCCTGCCATTCTACATTTATGACATGTTCTTCGCACAGGAGTCACAGTTCAGATGCTTCGTATCGGTATTGCCAGGAGATCCCAACCAGCGAAGAGCCTAAGGGATCGATGACCTGATCAACTGAGGCCCGAAACATGCCAATATCTTCGACGGCTTCCCGAAGAGCCATATCCAGTCAAACGGATTTCATCAGCTAAGTTGCGTGGGATGCACTTAAATTCCACCAGTTGGGATGGCCTCTCTCCCTGGGTTGTCCTAGTGAATTTCTTCCATCCCGCTGGTAAACCAGCCCCGCCCGCCCCGCGCAGATTTTCCTCACCCGTCTTCCTCCCCCTGTGTGAGACAACTCGAGGCTCACTTCGATCCAACCTTGGGACTGTTTTGTTTTCCCCTATGGCTGTGGCTCAAAAAAAAGGAATTCCAAAATCGAAGCCCGGTAAGTGGAAAAACATGAACCAAAACCTGCGGTTTCCCTCCTGCTTAATTTTGAGCCGCACCCATCTCCTATGAAAAGGGCACTGAACAAGCTTGGGCTTGGTTTGACTCTCTACGCGGAACTCCTTGCGAAGCTGCAAAGCGGGCAGGTGGACAATCATGACAATCAAAGGAAACTCAAAGGGCTTAATTACATTAGCTAGGATGGGATGTTGGGCACTTAAAATCCAAAATCTGACATGCATATCGGTTGATAGGAGAAAACTCTTAGTACATAGTTGGCCCCTTCTCTTACTCCAATGCAGGGCTCTGTGGGGCAGACTTCTGAAATGTCATCACAGCTGGAAGTACTTGGAACAATCAAATCTCTGCAGGCAAAAACGGCGAGCCAGCGCAGGTTGCAAACCAATTCATGCCAATGACAGAGAACGGCATTGCTTCCTTAGCTCTGCAACACGGCAACTCCTACCTCTGCATTCCATGCGTCTGAGCTCACAAACCTGCCTGCAAAGTGTGAGACATCTCTAGCTACTCCCATGGTCACTACTCGACCACTGACACAGATTGCTCCATGTTTCTACTTCTCTTTGGACCGCTGGGCATCGATTCGGAGCGGTCACAGGCGCTCAAAAATCGGCCGCCCAGTCATCCTGCCAATGGCAACATCGCACAAGGGTCCGCACGGTCCCGGAAAGCGGGCAAAGAAACCACTCAACTGGCAAAGTATGTGCTAAAACTGGGGGCCCCTTTTGGATAGTGCAACTGGGGATACGTTTAACGGACAGTTGAAAGGAAGATGAACACCCCAGGAGTCAAACATATGTTTCTGCATCCAATCCAACTTCCAAACCAGCATTGTTCACAGGTCTTACCTGCTTTACGATTGGCTCAGAAAAGATCTAATTGCGGGGTTGCTCTAACTTCGTTTTTCATCTCTGAAAGGGGCTGGGGAATCTTCTTGCGACACACCCACATGAAGAGGAGTACTAACAGGCTCAACTCTGACCGCAGCAAAGGTGCTAGTTCTTGGATCCAGAGCATAAGAAACCTCAAAAACAAGAAGGAAGTGGAAGTTCACCCCCCCACCCAATCGGCATACCAAGTTGTGTGTGTGTGTGCAACATGGTTGTATGTCATATGAGTTATATATGTCATGATGTCATAATATGATGTCATGAGGGTTGCCAAGTTCGATAGCATCCAATTTCGCATTTTGGAGAGAACGCTAGTATGCACAAGGTACCAAGCACAAACGGGCAAACCGAATGACAACTCATCTGGCATGCGCAATCAGTGGCAAGAAACACATAGCAGTCAATTCCTCTCAGCTTCGATACATCACGGCCAATGTCTAAACAAGAAAACAAAAAATCGAACCAGCGCGCACACCACACTCACACAACCACACACACAAAGCAATAAACAAACACACAAACGCGCGAACGAACAAACGAAACCAACCAACCAAACAATCAAACAAACAACTAAACAAACTAAACAAAACAACCACGCAGCCGCACAAGCAAGCAATCAATCAAACAAGCAGGCAAGCAAACAACAAACCCACAAACCCCACACCGGCACAAACAACCGACCTGACACACACAAACACACACACACACAGACACAGACACAGACACAGACACAGACACAGACACAGACACAGACACAGACACAGACACAGACACAGACACAGACACAGACACAGACACAGACACAGACACAGACACAGACACACACACACACACACACACACACACACATCGTGCAAAGAACAGCTGCGCGTTTCCGACCACAACCTCGCAGCCAACCTGTTCCATGTTAGTGGATCCCCAGTTTGCTACCCTCAGAGAGCCGACTCTCAAGGGGCCAAAATGATAATGGTTTCTGGTTATTAGAAAAGATCTGGCAAAACCATGACCCGGCCTTTGTGCTCTCCTTTTCGGAAACAACACAAAATATTGGTTTCTGTGCACCCAGTAGTCACGACTAGGCTGCTATGATGAGAGACACAGCTCCAAAACCCATTTTGATAAACACCTATTTGAGCCACGGTCGAAATTACTCGTTTTCGCTCGAGGACGCTGGACAATCAATGAGTCCTGGGACTTTGCGAGAAATTTAATGAGTCTCCGATGTTCCCCCCCCCCCCCGCGCAAGTACTGGACATTGCGACCGAACCCATGACCAGAGGTCTGTCACAAAATGGACGGTTTTGGATGCCTGACCATTTCAGTATGACCAGTGCACGAAACAAGGACCAAATCATGGTTTTCGTCTAAAATCTCGAAGGGGTCGGTGACCATCCCAACCAACCCCAAGCATAAACTTCTTTCGACCGTGGCACATATTCTTCTCAATCAGAGGACCCAACAACAAGTTGATCTTGCTTTGCTTTCCCTTACAATACTGACCACAAGGGAACCTTTCCACCATTTTGAGAAACTCCCAATCACATGGCTATGAAGTCTCATAGGAAACCGCCTGACGACCACCTCTTGGACGTAAAATCCCCAACTAAATGATGTCCACCAAAGGGTCCCCCACATTGACCAGTGCATGAGCTACACCGAAAGCATCCCCGCCGTGGTGGTGCTCTGCACAAAGAGCTTATTCCTGCTCTCTGCCCTCAGCCGCGAGGAATCTGAATTTTCGGTGCGAATCGTAGAGGCGGGACACTTTTAGGTGTCTAGGTCCTCCAGTAGAGAGGTTTGAATAAGGGTACCAACGTTTTTCTGTAGTCTATTTTAGTAGGGGGGAACCCTCTCTCAAGAAAGGGTAAAAGGGCACTACTGGGGGACCTAGGTATTTGGAGATGAGGTTTAAACTTTGTGCCACTGTTTTGAGGGCAGGAGGGAAGTGATCTTGAAAAAGCAGTACGGAACCTCGACACCTCCAAATACTGACGCTTACTATGACCTCGATATGTAATTGATCATGGTGACGTGGCTTGGACGCACCGGTCTTCTTTATTCCACGTAAACATCAAGAAGTCAGCTAGGCTAAGGGCCCCTTGCCAACTTCAGGCCCCTTGCCAGCTACCGCCTGTGAATCAAAGTTCCATGGCCACACAGGAAGAAAGCGAATTGCATAGAATCAGAATACGATCCAAGTTACTCATCAGGGATCCTTACATTATACACCTGAACATTGCCTTGTAAATGTTGGTTTCCCTTTGTTTGGGTGGAAAAAGCCATGTTTCAAATGGGCAAGATGTATCTTTTAAGGAGCCCTGCTCAAAGACTCAAACTCACTTAAAGCCAATAGTGCTTGTGCTTGTGCTTGTGCGTGTACGCGCGCGGGTGCGGGTGCGCGTGCGGGTGTGGATGCGCGCGCGCATGTGCCCGCTTGCCAGTGTGTGTGTGTGTGTGTCGCCCGAGCAAGTTCTCTGATCCATACTGTGGATGCACACCAAAGAACACGCAGGCCAAAGTCCTTCCATCCTATTCTTGTGCCCATGCCGCATGTCAGCTTCCAAAGTCAAGTGGTTAGGATTCGGATTTGTGGAGGTCAGGGTGGCTTCATGTGGCTTCCCAAAGGCCCTCAATAAGAACCAGTTCACAAATCGATCCAAACCAATCCAAACCACCAAGGGTCCACCTGAACATACAAACGTCGTTCAGCCTGGGGCCGAACCTATGCTCGCACCAACCACTTTTCGCGGAACCCTTCGCGATACTTTTACGGCCACACGTTTCACTTTCGCGAGGATCGCTCTCGCAGACCTTTCGCGGCGGGTTTCCTTCAGCAGGCCATCTACATGGAATAGGCTACGAAGCTCTTTCCTTGGTCCTCCGGTGGTACTTACAAAGGAGCGAGGCACCAGAATGTGGGAATGAATCCTTTCGTGGGGCAATTGGAGCTTTCGCGAAGCTTTCGCGGAAGTCGGCGGCATTTGGGATTTTGGCTGAACTCAAAAGGGACTTAGCGCTGTCCACAATGACCGGCACAGCCCGCCCTCAGGACCAAAATCCGCGCAGAAGCTGCAACCATGCACCTTCGCGACGCTTTTCGCAGCGGGCTCAACCACTGTGTCCGCATCGCGAGCTTTCGCACGCCGCCTTCTAGCTTTCGTGAGGCCTCGTTTGGAGAGCCCGTCGATTCGCCTTCTTCATAAGATTTGCGGGGGCTGCTCACTTTGAGCTTGTGGCGGCTCTGGAGATGTCGCAAAATGCGCGGGGCTTGTGTCAAGCTGGGCTTCGGGTTTCTCTTGGTTTCTGTTTAGCCGATCGCGTACCGAGCCTTAAGATACAAACAGGCGTCCCTCGTACTTGCCAACTAACATGTCAGCTGTGGGAAGGTACTGGGCAAACCAATTGCCTAAAACGACCAGACAAGTGCCATGCATTTCGCCGTGGAAGGGTTGGCTCCTCCAACATGCGTGGGCTTTTCATGCCAGCATGTCCTTTCCAAATGGAAGTGTCCCCGATCGACCCTTCCCCAGACCCTTGCTGTACACTCGGAGGTTGTGAAACAGCCTCAAGTGCTTGGGCTTCTTGGACGGTGTTTGCAACTGCCCAACCGCCTCTGCGTGTCCTAAAGCGTTCAGCCCTCGCCCGAGCATTGGAACACAGTGGTTGATCCCTTTCTAAAGTTGACATGTTAGTGGGATACGTGACCCAACCCTCCAAGGTCTGAAAGGCGTCAAGAAGTCTACGGGTATGGGTTGAAAACAACCAAGTTAGGGGCTCCCTCATGCGCAAGGAGACTTTGCTGTGGCTTGTAAAGGGAAACCAAACGGACAACCGCCGCTTTCGGGTCACCCAACAAAAAGACGAGCCACCCACGTGACGATCCTGCAGCTCGCCAAAAGCTGAGGCTGGAACATACTCTCTCGCGACGCCTGATGGACTCCGGCGAAACAATCTGACAAATTTGGTGCGCGTGATTCCAGATGTGGCTGTGGGTCAAAACCCTGTACTGCTGGTGAACATCAACATAGGTGGCAAATGGACGTTCATCCACCCATGGAGCCATAGGTTACGTCCCAATCGCCATGTGGACTATTTCCAAAAAGTGGGCGGACACAAGTTTGCAACTTCTTGTGCCCTCCAAAGGGTTGCTAGTCGGAATTCATGCCTAGCAATGAGGTGGCAAATGTCCATGATCTAAGCTGGTCCACGAGTTTCATCATTGCGAACACCTCGCGGAAGAAGCAACACAAACACGCACGAGACAAAACAAACGAGTTGAAGGCTGGGATAAACTACCCAACTGGTGCAGGATGTCGTCCAAATGAAGACCTCGGAATCCTCCCGGCCTTAGCCGGCTTCGCATTTGCAATCTCCTCCTCCGAGTAGGTCCTGGCAGTCCATGCCCGCAAAAAAACGAAAAAAGGCGAGAACTTTGGGGTTTTTAACCTGGGCTCAAAGCACGCAACTTGTTGCTGGTAAGGGCAAAACCAGGCCAGCAACGGGCCACAGGTCAACAGGCCAGTGATAAGAATAGAAATCGCCAAGTAAGGGACCTTAATCTTAGGTGAACTTACGGTTATTTCAGTGTTGCCCTCCCCAACCACCATGGTCGGGTTGCTCCGGTGACGTTTCGAACCCGGGTGCCAACTTCTTGCCAGCCGGCTTCTCGCCCGGCAGCCTACCCGTGGCTTGTATCTCTGTTGGACCCACTCGTGGTTTTCCTTTTGGTTTCCCTTTAAAACCACAAAACAGGGGTACCCTGAAAAATCGACACCCCCCACTTGTCTGATGCTTTTGTTTTGCGGTGATAGGGAAACCACTGGAAAGCCGCCAGCTTCTCACTTCGATGTTTAGACTCCTTTACTCCATGATGCAACGACAACTCTGCGTTCTTTTTCACCCCACGCCGCAACAGAGCTGTACCCGCACCACTTGGTCGTGGACTAATTACAACAAACCGTGTTCGAAGGATGCCGAAAGCTCTGGGGTTTGCGGGAGCAAATTTGAAGGAGGCGTCCGGAGATGCTGTTTGGTTCGTCAGGCTTCCGTGGCGGGGATACCACCTGGGCCGATGTTCTTTGTTGGGCGGAGCAGTTCAAAGCATACCCACACACTGCTAGCTGCTAGTGCTTTTCAGAAGACCGAAAGGGACTCCTTGCTTGGGATCAATCCAAGGCGATCCCCATGAGAAATACGACATGGTTGAAACAGACAGGTGCAGCTTCCCGACATTGTCATCGATTTATACAATTGCAATGGATGCTCCTCCAAACTGAGGACCTGGACAGGCCTTGTGTAGGTGTATGGGACCTTGATTCGACCTCACTTTGCCGTGAATTCACATGGGGAACCACCTAAAAGTGGTTGGTGGACAGGAATCCCCACCTAAATGATGTACAACCAGGGCTCCCCTGTTGAAATGCTACACCCACTTTCAAGACGTCGCCATATGATGAGGCCTCATTTCAGCCCGCAGGCAGGGAGGGCACTGGACCGTCGCCCGGAGATAGCTGGGAGCCCCTGCACAGGTGGAGGCGTGTAGGGCGGTGGCAGTTTGCGCGCCTCGATATGCCGGGCCTTGAATTGCTCCGAACCATGGGGTTGCTGCTCAGCCAGAAAACTCAGCATGCCGGGTGTTGGGCATGAACCAGCTTTGCGGATCCCCTCAAAGGAAACCACAGAGGTGATGTTTTTTTGTTCTTTTTCCTCGTTTTTTTTCAGGGTCCTTCCAAATCATTCCCTGCCTATCGAACCAGTACCTGGATCGCACGTAGCTCTCTGGCTTTCGTCCAGCGAAGCTGGGCGTTTCGCGAGGCTGGCGCGGGCAATCACCCAACCAAACAGCTCGAAGGAAGAACTGCAAAATCACGGCAACAACGAAGCCATGGGGACACCGCAAACTATTGCCATTCCCCAGCCCAACGACAACTGTGGTGAGATTTCCTTGTCATAGGTCACGCTTCTCTCAGTTGGTAACCTTGCAAGAGTTGTCTAAATTCACCAAGGAGGTTACCCCCCAAGTAAAAGACCTAATGTGGGAAGATTGGACGGCCCTGCATCACTTTGGAGCAGGGTCACTGTTCCGGACGAATTGCTTGATGGAACAAATTGGGCTGTCCCCCGTACTGGCCCTCTCCAAACTAACAGTAGACTACTAATGACTTCTGTTACTTGAACAGCTACTAGCGGGCTCTCGTGCTGTGGCAACGAAAGAGCTGCACGGGCTACCTGGACCCTGACCCTTAAAAAGGGAAAGCACGGCAATCACCAATCTTTATGGGTTTGAGGCTCCAGGTCCCCCGGTTCGGGCGTTTCAAATTTGGAGCCCAAAGGAAAACAGTTGGGGGGGCCCCTTTGACACAGCTCGCTCGATTGCAACCGCCGAGCCAGGTCGGCTTTCGAAGCGCTGGGTGTCCCGGGCAGTCAGCTGGTCCCAAGAGAAGGTGCCGGACTTGAACCAACCACTCTTCTTCACCTGGTCAACTCAAGTTAGCATTTGTGTAGGTGGGATTTTTTGGATTTTCGCGGGGCCACCAAAATGGGTGTCCTTTGTTGGGTTCCCTTTAAAATCCACTAAAAACGGGTACCCTCACAAAAGACAGACCCGTGATAACCCAAAATAGGTGGCGTACCTCGTGGTTGTTCTGACACAAGCAACCTAAGGCTACCCTCAAAAAGCAGAGACCTTTTCTTTGGGTGGTTCCTTTCAAACCACCATTTAGGTCATTTTGAGGATGTCACTTGAATGGACCCATTCTGTGGAAAGATCGTGACTTCCTGTGATACCAAAGTTGAGGCTGTGCAGCAAATCGTATTGGAATGCCGACCAAAGGCCCAACCAAAATGCCACGTCCTCTTGATCCTGCAAGTGAACCCGGGGTTCAACCATTAAAAGAAAGGCCTTGGGACCCAAATTGAAGGATGGCAATCCTGAACGGCAAAGAATGGTGGTGAAATATATGAACCGTTCTAATTTTGAATTAATTCATCAACAACTGTACACATCGTTTTAATGGTGGCCTGCCTTTTCACAGGTGAAACCCATGGGTTGCCCGGTCAACTTAACACTCCTCGATTGAGTGAGAGAAGGCCTCCCAGTCTGTCCCAAAACCGCCGCAGTCGAGATGGTTGCGGCGATGGGTTTTTGTTGGTTCCAAACCTTTTGTTTAATGTGGTATGAAAGCCTGGACCCTGAAACTACCCTGGAGAAAGAGTGATTTTGCAGTGATGAGTTCAGTACGAAAGCCTCGACCCTTGAACTACCCTTTTCTAAAGGGTGATTTCCCCACAATTATGCGGAAACCACCTGGTTTTAAGAGTAGTTTGAGGATCCAGGAATGCAAAAGGTTGTTTCAAGGATCTTATATTTTTTGTTGGCGCAACGGGCGTTTGCTTCCTTCGAGCGTATGTTATTACCTGTTGCCCTCATGTCTCAACTCGGAGGGCACCAACCGGTGCAAGAAAGCCTCCAAAACAGGATGGCAATTGGTTCGGGTGGAGCAAGTCAAGAGCTCCCAAAACCAAACTTGGATGACTCCTCGAGAGAGGAGTTCTGATGGTGCTTGGGATTTTCGAACGCTTAAGCTAGGGCTCCCCATCTCCGAGAAAAAGCAACGAAACAGGGGGACCCTAAAGAAGGCTTTACAGGGTGTTGGCTTTCGTTGAGTCTTGGCTTTGGGATGACCCGGCAAAACCGATGTGGAGGGGTGGGTTCTATATACACCTGACACCTATGGCCGTTTTTTGGGTCATATGTCTGTTACCAGAAAAATGGGGTCACGCGCTCATTTACTTTGTGTTTCAACAGAATGTTGAACAAGGATTCACACGGGTCGTATACGATATAATCTATTCATAGAGTATATGATGCAATTGCACCACATTTTAGTCATACTCGTCATTCTGGTTGGCCACAAGTAAATATTTTTTAGAAAAAGCTGGCCATACGGGCAACGGCCAAATACTCGGGTTTCACCTGCACGTGGTCCGTGGTCCCAGGTAGCCGTGACACAGCCCCTGGTTTGCTTGGGATTCTTGACGGAAAACACCAGAAGGAAACGGCTCATGCCTTCCGTAAAAGAACTGCTTGTCATGGTTGCCTGAATGATTGCTGTAATTTCCTGACCTGCCAACCGACTTCCTGGTCTAGCGACCCCAGGTAAGATAGTTCGATCGTACACATGGGTGTTTGCTATTCCAATCCCGTACTGTGGATGTACAACATCCACAAACGAACCAGTTGGGATGGATGAAACACTGGATGCTGCGAGACATCCGGATACCTTGGCCATCTGGGGCCCGTACAAATCGAAAATCGTATGTTGAACGTGTCCTTATCTAGTCTCTAGTTTTCGATCCTCCTACCTATAGTCGAGAGTCTCACTTCCTGAGTGGATGGGCCAAACATGTATATACTTACCACTAAAATGTCCGTCTTCCCCAAAAGTCCAGGAAGTCAGGAAGTGAGAAATGTTGACCCCGGATATTTGTGTTTTTGTTTTAAGTTTATTCAGATGGGGGTGGGGGGCCCCTCTACAAGCGGTCTGAATCCCCACTAAAACATACTGAAGCCAGAAATGGACACCCCCATACTTTCATAAACAGCCTGGAGCCTCCATTGCTACCTTAATTTTTGCTACGAAATATTTTTGCTCGTGACACGTTCTTGCCAAAAAAACGCTCGTTTTAACAGAAAGTGCTCGAGACATCCGCACAAATGCAATTTGCTACCTGCGATTCGTAGCATTTTTTGAATTTGCGCTCGTTTGCGCTTTTTTGCGCCGATTTGCGCTCGTTTTGCACTTTTTTTGCACTTTTTTGTGCCCGTTTTGGCGGCAACTTGACCCTGGGGATCAAGAAAACACGGCCGAATGGGATTTCTGCCCGAATCGTCAAAAAGCGCTCGGAAGCGAATGGGAGGCAAAAAGTGCTACGTCGAGTCAATTTTGGTATCGAACAAGGGGGGAGGCAGAAATTTATGCTACGATGGAGGTTCCAGGAGGGGTATATACATATCTGGGCTGTCCTCAGATCCCTTGCTAATTATTTAGCTTTTAGTGGGTTATATAAAGGGAAACCCCCAATAAACCCTAAAAAGCTAAGGGGACGGCTGGGAGCCACCAAGATATATGGGGTCAACATTATCCGTGGAATACCACAAGCCCCAAGCCCCTCGGAGGCGCCACGTCGCCTACTGACCCACCGAGCGACCTGCGACCCGTGCCACGTCGCCTCCTCCGCCCCGTTGGCGCCCAAACGCCGCGCAGGGGTCACCACCAAGAGCCTGGCGCGTAGGTGTGGCTGGCTGGATGGTTTTGTGGGTGGGCGGGTGGTTGGGGGCCTCGATTTGTTAATGAGTCTCGTCTCTGTGACAACCAACATATTTTCCGTTTGCATGAAGTGGTGGTTCTTCAATACAGAACACATGCACGACGACGTATTGCTAATATGCAAGTGCGAACATGTCCTGCGCCAACTCAAAGCAAATGGCTCATCCTGAAATCATCTCAGTGGTTCCAACTCAAATCCCTTGCCAACAGCTTAAACTTCTCGCGGGATATGTCATGAATAATTTGTTTCTAAACAAAAAAGCGTCTAAAAGCTTACCATTCTTTACCTTCGGGATTCGTCATCAGCTGAATTGGGTTTTTCTTGGGCCATTCTTTCAATGGGAATCGGTTGAACCCCAGGTTAAGCTGGGCGGGTCCCCAAACTCTTCGCGTATGGTAAACGATATGGGCAGTGTCTTTTTGAGCAGGGCTGTGGGAAACGGAACCCAAAGGGCTTCCCAAAGACAAACCCCCAATACAAAGGGGGAGATTCCCAACGACATCGAAGTGGTTGGATAAACCCCCAGCGATCCCACCAAGACTGTTTCTGAGGGTACTGGTGGGTCCCCACACACGCCCATATTGTGGTTTTGCTTTTTGTTCACATGGGGCCCTTGCGGAAATCAACACCTGTGGCTTTTGTGTATCTGTCAAGCTGTCGAAAGTATGATAACTTTTCTGGAAGTGGCGCCACATGTCACCAGATTTCTCAAACGGGCCCTCTAAAAACTGACAAACATCAGGCCCAGTTTTGGCAACCTGACCATCTGACAGTCCCTAGTTTTGCTACCACGTCCTCACAGAGCTCCTAGCCTTGAAATCAAATCTGGATTCTCCTCCCTCCAATCCAACCAGCTTGTTTGACACCTGCCCTCTGAACCAGCCAGGCTGACTGCTTGATGAAGTGCTTGGCAAGGTGTAGCGCAGCAGGCCTGCCGAGAGCCCGACACGTGCAAGGACTCGAAGCCGGAGCTTGGCTCTCCGTGTGCAAATGCTCATGCTTGTGCCTTGGGCTCCCATATGGCAATATTTGTCTTTTTTAGGAAGGCCCGAACAAATCGGCAAGACGGCTTTCAATTGGTTTCCCTTCAAAAGCAAAAAGGGGTTCCAACTCAACCAGAAAACGAGCCACCCATTGACAAAGCCGCCATGTCACTTGTGATCTTGTGATCTGGCAGAAGGCGTTTGCAAAGCGCAAGGGGCGTGGTCCAGAAACAAACCTGTGGTTGCCGTTTTTGGCTCTGTAGGGGTTCAAGGCTAACAACCTCCGTGGCTTCCCTTTGAAGGAATTGGCTTCCGGGGGGTGGTTGCTTCGGTCATGACACCTCAAGATCCTCGGACATCCCGCGCCAGAATTCTGAGTGACCCGGGCAACCTGAAACGGACTACACCCTATGAAAATCAAAAACTTTGCAGGGGCCAATTTTGGTTCACCTGAAAAACACATGGTATGACTTCACCTCCAATTCAGTGAGTACCCGGATACATTAGCTCAACGTGTCTTGGGGCTTTGAGCGCACATCCACAATCGTCATACGCATGGACAAAATCCCTGCATTCATTTCTGGTTGCGATTCAGCGCCTGGAAATTCTCAGACACTTTCCAGTGTTGAAATCGATTCCCTTCAAAAATCCGACAGGGGAAAATAAATAAAAACAAAACCTATCCGTTTCAGCTTAAATGGAAGGATTCTCCCTCCCCTTCATCTACCCGACTCGGTCTTCGTTTCGGACGTGGCGATGTCCGGATTTCGCTCGTTTGGGGCGCCCCGCAGGAAGCCATCAGGTAGACCCTGGTTGAAGCCTCAGTGACTCGGAAATCCGCGGAACGGCCGGGGGAACTCGGCCAATTGGTCGGTTTCCGTTTCAGAAAAGACCTTTTGTAACCACAGAGGACCCCTTTTTTCTTAATTTTATGTTTTTCTTCAAAAAAACAGATGCCATCTTGACCCATTCTTCTCTCAAAGAAAAGATGCCATCTTGCCTTGTACACGGAAAATATTATTTCCTCGGAACATACATGTCATGTTTCCTGGGTTACTGCAAGGACCCCGCTGCAACAAGTGTTCAACTGTTGGTGGGTCCAACGGGAAATCCAAAAAAGAAGTCCAACAAGTGAAAGAGTTTCGGTCCTTTTGTTTTCCCCCGGTAACAACCGCAAAAAGCAGAACTTGAAAGAACAAGAAGGAGGGACAACATAAACAACAAATTAAATGGGTGTGCCTCAATCTAGGGGACTCCCAAAAATAGTCGTGTCCCTGTTGTTCTCCTTTTAAATGATCGCAACAAGTTGGCACCCTCAACAAAGACATGTCTTTCCTGGAAGGTATCCTGTTGAGGTTTGGTTCACAGGGAAACAGCCATTCTATATGTACTTTTCTTTGGGTTGGGTCGGGGGGGGGGGCGATGCGGGTCCGATTCCTACAGCCCGCCGAAAACAGATCCAAACATCCCCGACTGGAGAGAGATGTGGCTCACCGAGTCTCTGAGTGGCCGGCTCTCGCGCAGCGCCAGCAGCTGCCTGGCCGAGTTGGCACAAACCGCCGAGTCCAAGACATCATCTGGGGGGGGGGGGTCTCAAGACTTCGATTTGCTTAAGCCCCCTGGAAAGAATAAAAACAAATCCGGTGATAGATTCCCTTTAAAACAAGCAAGGGAAAATTACAAAACATGTTCGTAAGCAGGATGAAAACCCGGTTTTGCCGTCGTAAATGGAAACCCAGCGGAAACCACCTGGATGTCCCGATTTTTTCGAGGGACACCCACCTGGATCCACTTGGCCGCGCTTTGCTGGGGACAAGCCCCCAAAAGCACAAAATTGGGCGTGGCTATTTTTGAGGGAACCCTTTTTGGGGTTGGCCTAAGGGGAAACCAACAAAAAAACAACACATATTGCGGGTTCCCCGCAGACCCAATGAGGCTCACCCCCAATGACCAAACAAAGGCGGCCAAGCATTTGAGGAATCCTCAAGACTTCCTGATGGCAAACCTCCCTTTGGTTGGCTTTTAAAGGGAAACAAAAGGGGCACCAACAATTCTAGGGGTCATGCGGTCCCCTATTTTAAGACACGCCCATATGCCTGAAAAACTCCAACGGTCTCAGGAAGTGTATGCATGAGCTCGCAAGGCTCGTATCGTGCAGCCGTTGGCTTCCCTCAAGAAAGTCGAGAGACCCATCAGTCGATTTACCTGTCAAGATGCTGTTAAAGGATACATTCACAAACTACCTATACAAGGAGATTCTCTAAACCACAGTGACTTGCCAATTGGCCCAAATATATACTTTCAGGGACCCTATGTGTTTCTCTCCAACACTGTGTTGCACAAAGAGGCGGGGTCTGTCTAAATACTGAGGTTGAACTCATACTTGGACCCGTGGGCAATGGGTCCAATTCAATTCAGTGTCAATACAATTTGTCTTGCCATGTCTTACCATATCGGGAGCCTGCAACATGTTGAGGTTTCCGTTTCAACACGTTCTGTGCAAAACAAATTCTGCAAGCTGACTCAAACATACGGACCCCCAGGAATGGTCTCGCGCGGAATCAGCTTTGTCAAGCCTGGGGAGCAGGGCTTTTGGGCGGATCCGCAAGTCTTTGGCTCCCAAACAGGATCCTGTTTCCCCCGAGTGCCTGCTTCTTTGTTTCTCTGAAAACCACCATGTAAGGTGCTAACTGCCCGAAATATCGCAACATTTCAGCAGGTGTCCCAAATCACATCCCAAGCAGATTTCATAAGAGCCGGGCGTGTTTCCGGGTTTCCGTTTAAAAAAGGGGAGGGGTACAGGAAAAAAACCATACCCATTCTTTGGGTGTCCGTCGTCAAACCAAATGCCTGTTTCTTCGCCAAAGTCGCTTTCTCAATTCGAAGCGAAAGCCAAAAGCCGGGAACGCCCCATGGGGTTGTCGTCATAGCCCATGCTGTCCCAAGGTGCCTGGCGCCGGTTTTTTTCGATGCGGGAACAATGGGATCCCACTTGAAGGAGCAGGGTACCGAATTCATAATCTAGGGGTTGATTCCCCATTCTTCTCAACCATCGTTCTTCGCAAAAACCGGCTGTTTCCCCAGGGTTTGGGGTGGTTTTTTAGAAAGAAGGATGCCTGGAAAGAATGAGAAGGTACCCCTAGAAAGAAGTGGATACTAAGCCTGGCTATAACCCACTCTTGAGACTTAGAACCATGGTAAGTAGGTTATAACCTGGCTTACTTGCCACTTATGAAATGCCCTGCCGCTTTAAGCAGAGTGCCGTCAAGAGCAAGCTTACACTTGCGGGCAACACAAACTTCAGTGTGTGTCAACAGGGATCCTTACAGTATATACCTGAACATTGCAACTTGTAAATGGTGGCTTCCCCTTATTTTGGTGGAAAAAGCAACATGTTTCAACTGGTTGCAAAATGTATCTTTTAAGGAGCCCTGTGTCAAGAACATGGGAAACCCCAAAAATGGATTGCCCGATCGGAAAGTGGAGACAATGAGAACAAAATCTAGCGGTTCAATTCCTGATTCAATTTTGACCCATGCCCATTCGTTCAACAAAGTGGTTCAAAAAGAGGCTGGTGCACGTTCTTGGACCCTTTTCGGAAAACTGTCTTTAGCTCGTACATGTACAGGCCCCCGTTTCCGAGACATCCAAATGAGTGGCTTGTCCTTAGGTTTTCGTTTAAGACCAGCAAAAAAGGGGAACCCTTACCTTTAATTGCGTTTTCGTCCCCTGGGAAATTTCGACCATATTTCCAGTGGTGATAGATTCTCAAAACCAACAAAGGAACATAACACATATTCACATATTCTTAAGGACACAAGACACACCCGCATGACACGTATGCTCTACCCGGTGAAGGGAAGGCAACCGAACCCATGACTAACGCTTTGGTCAGGCTCCCCGACCCAGCAAATCGGGTCGACCTGTTGAGGCCACCCCCAAACATGGGGTGCGTTTAAACATGGTTGCTGTAACGACCCCACCGCAAGAAGTTGTGTTTGTTTGCGTTGGTTCAATTTGGAAAACCCTTGATTTCAGCCAACAAGCTAAAGTCTTAAGATCCAACCCACCAGCAATCAAGGAAAGCACTATCAAAGGAAAACCTCAAACTTTGCAGTTCCCCCAATTGAAGACCCGACTTTCTGCCGCGGCCTTGAGATGACCCACGCCAGGCTGAATTCAGAGATTAAAGATTCGGTGATTGGAAGCAATAACTGGGTCTGTCTGCAATGGCATATGGAATCCCCTAAACCGGAACACGCTCACCACCCAGCTAAACATCTCTGAGCGTCTGAGAATGGTGAGACGAGAGCAAATGCACAATTGTCAATAGCGACAGGAACATGTTTTTTTGCTTTAGGAGGTTAGGAGTAACCCTGAAATTGACAGCGGCTGGCAGCGACGTAGGGAACAAGTTAGAAACCCTTTGATGTACCATGTCGTTGGTTCACATGCAATGCTTCAGGCTTTTCCAATTTCTTGTTGGATGGTGTCCAGGCCAACCCCCTATCTTACGTGCAACCCCCCACCCCTGGCAGCTGGAATCCTAACACCAATCTCTACAACTCTTGGTATGGTAGCAACAAACTTTGTTTTTGCAGCCCTTTCAGTAAACATAACCAAGAAACCTTTAAACAAAAAAACACACATTAACTTTAACACTCCAAACAAAAAACAAGAAACATGCCAGGAACAGTGAGGTAAAACCCCCATTTTACGTTCACGTCCCTCGCTTCCCCGCTTCGACGGTTCCGCCTGTCCGCTCAGCATCTCAAAGGCTAAGACCTCCGAAGCGCGCTGAGAGCTGGATCCATCCAAGTGCGAAGACAGCGGCAAGCGGTTGCTGCAACGACCCCCCTGCAAAAAGTTGAACACTTTTTGGGGGGAGTGGAAAACCCACTTGGTTTCAACCCAAAAGTGAAAAAGTCTAAAGATCCCTGTTTAGACAAAGGTATCTGAAGACCTATTGCTGGTGCGATAGGGAATGAGAAATGGAACGACCAAGAAAAACCATCCAACTGGTGGCTTCCTTTAAGGGAATTCCCAGGGTTTGAAGTATTCACCTCATTTGCAAGGGGAAAAAGGGAAAACAACAAAATCGTCTTATCTGCTGTTTCCAAATGAACAAGAAGTGGCCAGGGTCTGGTTGTTTGAACAGATTTTGACCACCCCTCCCAAACGGATCTGGTGCTTGACATTTTCGGGAGCTTTACAAGCGAGCACCCGCCATGTGGTGCGTCTGCTCCTTCCAGCTTTCACGCCGGGCCAGTGTCCGATTCCAGGACTGAAGTGGGTGCGTCTAAAATACTTTGCATGTCAATGCCCTGGTGCAGGCATCAGTTGTATGGGACTCAGCGATTCAGACCCACCGGAGTCTGATTTCCGTCCTGTTTTTTCTTCTTTTGTTGTTTTTTATCTTAAAAATAATCGTCTGATTCGTCAGGCAACCACCAGATGCAAACGTCAGGCCTATGAACTGGTCAGTGTGGGGAAAGATTTCGCAGCAATTGAGATGGGGGGTTGTATTTGGAAGGGGACGCCCCAAGGCTTCAGTTCTCCTTTGGATTGTCCTTTCCCCAAACAAACGGTACCAACTCCAAAGGTTGAGCGGCCACCCGCAGATGAAACCCAACTAGGTGGTGCATGGCATGCGCGAAAGCAGGTATCTCCGAGTCGCCTCCCTTAAAGCATCTTGAAAGGGGGGAGGTGGAGGTGGGGGTTTAAAGCTTGGGTGGGGGTTCGGGTTTGGAGTGAAAGTTTGGGGGTTTGAGGTTCCGGTGGGGTGGTTGTTGTTTTTTTGGGTGGGGTCCCAGCTCCCGGCTCTTGGCTCGGCTCCCATCTCGGCTCCAAGCGCCCAAAGCCCACCAGTCAACCTCACGACTTGCTCCGGCGCTGGTTCGAGACTGCGATCCGTTACGGCGGAGGGTTGCGAGCTCCACTTCGCACCGTTCAGAAACCCAAGGGAATGATTCGATTCCCCTGTCAATAGCAACGAACCATGTCCCATGGCTTCAAAGTGGTGCGAAATTGTAGTTTGTCCATCCACAGGGAATGAGAATTGGAATGAACCCGGGCTTTGGTCCCCAAGGAAACCACCCGTTGGATGGAGGAGCTCATTCCAGGGATTTTGTTTAGCGCATTAGCAAGTACATGGGATGTGTGTATTGGATGCCGTGGCGGTGTGTTCCTTTTCGGATCTGTGAAAACAACTTGCCGAAACAGTTAGCTCTTCCTCCCCACTAACATGATGCACCCTCTGGGGTACCTGCAAGTTTCCTTGTAGGGAATTGCTGTGAGGTGAGCCATGTTAGGGTGACAGGTTCTCCAGTAGAGAGGTTGGAATAAGGGTACCCTTGTTTCTGTAGTCTAATTTAGTGGGGGAACCCTCCCCAAAAAAGGGTAAAAGGGCACTACTGGGCGACCTAGCTACTCTTTAAACCGCCTCTTTTCGGTTTCCCCTCGGTGAAATCTCCGATAAAATATCTTAAGAATCTTTGTGCCAGCTCTCCGCTCCCAAGGAATGAAACAGGGGAAACGGCCAACACCTCAACGCCATTGTTTTGCTGAGCCCGATTGCCTCAGAATGGGATTCAGTGGTTTCTCTGTCAAAAAGGAGACACCATGCCCGTGTCGCATTGCCACCTGGTGCAATCATATACGCTTCTAGCTCCTACTTTCACTTGCACAGCTGACCTGGAATCCCAAGGTCAATCTCTTAGAAGCTTGCTTAAGAAGCAAACAAGAGTTCAAAAGGGTCGATTTGGGCAGGTGAGTCATCGAATCCTTTCAAGCTCGAAGAGCCGTATAAGCTGACAATACCGTCAATCATGGGATCCCTGCCCGAACCTCCCCCGTTTCGCAAACTAAGACTCTCAAAGCTTGGTTGACGTTGGAAGGGGAGCAACAATTTGAATTTTAGCAGTTGAGTGGTTGGATTTCACCACGAAACCACAATAAGCAAAGACGTAAAATGTTTCCCACCAAAAACCATGCAAAGGCCTCATTCAGACTGTATTTGGGGGGGGGGGGCAAAGGGGTCAGCTGCGGGGGCTCAAGAAGCCTTCAGGCTGGCACAGGTAGTTTCAGGGTCCAGGTATCTCCAGCGTATCCCAATTCTTTGGCTTCCATGGGGAGTGACCGGCTCAGCACACGAGCTGTTCACCGGGATTTGTAAGCCAAGAAAGGGCGTACTCCAAATCAAAGGACGCAGAACCCCTCCCCAACAGGCCTTGTACAGTTTGTTCAGCTGAAACCCGCTGAAACGAGCAACGGGATTCCCTTTCTGCCTTTTAGGGTTTTCCTAAGATTTGTCCTCCAAAACAGGTTCATGGGGGCCTAGGAGATAATGCAAAGGAAAAGGAGACAAACCGCCTTCACACAGGGGGGACAGCCCAGCAAAGCAAGAAGTCTCCTTTTACTTGATTCCAGGGTTTTCTTTTTCAGCCGGCCAGCCTGGGAGAGAACCCCTCAAAGCAAGCAAACAATCCCGATTGCTGTCAACAAACGGTAGATCGCAGCAACAACTTCCCTCTTTCGAGCCAGGTTCAAGTGCTGCTTCATGGCAAGCGGGCTCGGGATTCTTCTCCCTCAAAGGAAGATCTTGATTCAAAACATCCCCACCCTGAATCCAGCTAAATCCTGACATTTTCAAACTAGATTGTTGGTACATGGGGGCAGAAAGTGTATAACCAATCTCAACCGGTGGGTTTCGATGCCTATCCCCTGAAACCAACACATCCTGGGCCAGCGAGTCCCTTGGGTTCAACTCGCCGACTCCCATCAAAAGAATGGTTGACCAAAAAGGCAATCCTTCTAGGTCAAAAATAGCGGTTCCCCATAATCAACCCCAGTTCATTCATAGCAAAACGTCCATTTCGGGGTGGAATGTGGCCATTCGGATCACTTTAAGAGGGGCCAAAAACAACCCCCATACTCAATAATCTATATATTAACCCAATCATTCTAGGACGCCATGCCGATTCCCACGAAAATAATGGCCATGGTTGACCCAATTTGGATGACAATCCTTAGGTAAATAATGGTGGTTATACTAACCCAACCATACTATGAACCCCTACGGATTGTGGATATCCCACTGTTTTAGCTATAAATAACCCGTTGTAACCCAAACAATGTGGTTAACCAACAAAGGGCTAACATTATTTTGCTGGTAGTAACTGAACCCCAGAAACCACTCACTGAGGCTCCCGGCCATGTGGTTGTGAGCGTGAGGTGGGTCCTCGGAACCCTTTCCCGAACCAAAACCCCAGCTGACACGAATACCCTTCAAAGAAAAAGACACATGCCTTGGTTGCTTTAACGACCCTCCCGCAAAAAAAGCCAAAAAAGCGTTTTGTGGGCCCGACGGGAAAAAACATCACCGTTTCCCAAAAAGTTGAAGTCCAAAGATACAACCAAAGCCATAAGGATACCCATCTGGTAGAATAGGATGTCTCTCAAATGATTGGTCTCTCGGAGTTGCCTCGAAGCCATCTTTCAGATTGAAAGCATTACATTCGGGAAATCTACTTTGATCTGGGCTCGGTTGACACCCGACATCACCAGAAACCGATGGGCCGAGTTCGTCACCGCTCCCGAACATCTTTGTGGGGCTGCAAATGCTTGTTGTTTCGCGAGTCGGGGGAGTCTCCATTGGAGCGCTGGCTCTGCATGGGTCATTGCCCCCCAAAAGCAAACACTCGGCAGGAGCCCAAGAAGCCCAAAGAACATGGCCCGCCCAAACCCGAGATCAGCCACACTAGCATATGGCCCAGCCAAAGCCGGCACCCTTGGATATGTCAGCAACCATTTTGCCCGCCCGAAAAGATCTTCCGCAACCTGAAACTCCCAAACTCTCAGATGGTGTACCCCAAAGCAACTAGCCCCACTATCCCCAGGGGATCTCTTCTATGTACAACCACTGTAAAGCCACGATGTACTCAGTTGTTCAGTGACCATGGAAAAAAAGGGAACCCGTTTTTGGGAAGACCATTTAAGTGGGGCAGCCGCCAAAAAAAAGGGGAAAACGGGAGCCACTGAACAACTGAGTGTAGTTCGAAATATCTGGGTTCTAGCCTGGGAGTAGTTTGGGGGTAGTGTGAAACCAGCTTTGACAAATGCGGCGGCATGGGGGCTGGTATTGCGCACAGGCTGAGGGAAATCAAATGATGCGGGGCTTCTGGAGACTCGGTCCAACTGCTGTTCCCAAGAAACCACCCGTTGGTCGACATCGACATGTGGATTGTCCGCTGCTTAAATTATACAACAACTATGTGGGGTTGGTGGTGTTCGGGCCGCTGTTGGCTTAGTCTAAAGAGAAACCTCTAAGAACCCAGGACCATTCCTTTGGAGCATACCCCAAAAATACGTGTTTTAGCATATTTTGGGCTATTTTGGGCATGTTTGACAATGATGCTCGCAAGGTAAGGTGCAAAGCTATTAATTCGATTAGGGACAGCCAAGGGCGCAGCGAGGGTTTAACTTGCTCTGATGGTCTCTGCAAACAGGCCTGGGATTAAAGCTGCTACGTTAATTTTCGGTGATGATGAGAACTCATTTCGGCTTCCGAACAAGGGTAAGCACGGGGTTAGTTTAGGCCCCAGGGGACGCCCCAAGGGTAGCCATGTCCTCAATTCTCCAATCCTGGGAACAGGAGTTGGGGGCGGTTTGGGAGTCTTTTCTCCCGGAAACATTAACAATATACCCCGAACCTTGCCAATTTGGGGTATGCTCAAATCAGGGCCCAATTTCCACGGCATACGCAGCCTGACTTGAGCATACCCCAACCCCACCATTCCACCAAAACACACATTCCGGACCCTGAAGCTGGGGACCTAGTGAAGGGGGGAAGCCGACCGCAGTGCCATGCCATAGTTTCCCACAACAAGTGCTTTTTCGGTGGGACAGGTCCCAGGATTGGTTGGAACAGCTTTCACTGCAGTTTACAAAAGCTGATCCGGGTTTCCATCATGTGCAGAACCATGCTGGCCACAGCAAGGGATCAAATCAGGCGCAGAATTGGTAAACAGTTCTTTGAAAGCTCTCACCTTTTTCACTTTGCGTTGACCCTTCACCGGCCACAGAATGTGCATAGCAAAAACCTGCGTGATGCAAATTGGAGTAGGCTAAAACCTTGAAAACTGTGCCAAAACTGGTCGGGGTATGGTCCAAAGGTATGGTGTCGAGTTCTTAGAAAACCGAATTGGGCCCGCAACTTGAAATAAACCCGATTTCATATTCGCTTGAGGTCATCCCTTTTCGTTTGGCCTTAGGACGGAAACCCAAAAAGAAACCACCCCTTCTACAAACTCCAATAGAAAGATGTGGGGCCAAGCAAGCAAATCGGCCGAGCAGTCGTTCCGTGTAAACCAAGCCAACGCTGAGCGCAACAATACGTTATGTGGATCAGCAGTGCCTTCAGGTACGTGGACGGTTGGCTTAGTGGTGTGACCCATTGCTAGTGGCTAAGCTTTTAGCTCGATCTCTCACGAATAGGCATGGCTGAGAACCTCCCGAGACTCGGCCAAGAGGCAATCATCTCTGGAGCCATGTACTCGGGAGTGCCCAGCAAAGTGTGGGTCTTGCCTCGAGAACTGCAAATCAGCTTTTAAGATCCCCACCCCGTTAAGGGGGGGATGTTTGGAAATGGAACTTGCATTTTCGGGGTTTGTCACCTAGAAATGTAAGATTACCATTTGCTTCTTAAAACATGCCATGTTTTTCGGACCCCCAGAAAAAAAGATCTTTGGCAGAAAAGGCCTGTGCCTAGCCGCACAAAAAATATATGGAAAGTAACAAGTCCGAGCGTGATGCGGTGGCTGTTGTTGAGAGAAGAGGAAGAGGATGAACAAGAAAAGGTTAAACAGATGATGATGATGATGATGATGATGACGATGAAGATGATGATGATGATGATGATGATGATGAGGATGAGGATGATGATGTGATGATGATGATGATGATGATGATGATGATGATGATGATGATGATGATGATGATGATGATGATGATGATGATGATGATGATGATGATGATGATGATGATGACGATGATGATGATGATGATGACGATGATGTGATGATGTCATTGGTAATCACATGAGTATAACATGGCCCAACAAACACTCACGCACACAACAAGAGTCAACACGTAACATGCAACAGCAATGAGCACAGCAACACAACACGCCAATGTCATCGGCCCCCCAACAGGTCAACCACATGCGAAACGCGAATCTCTAGTGTTTGGTTCTGCGTTTGTTCAACCACTGTTCTTTCACGAACCGGCCCTTTTCCACGGCTCGTGGTGGGTTTCCTGGGAAAACACATTGCCTGGAAGAATGACAAGTTACAGTGCCACCAAATAAACAAATTCCAATATAGCAGCTCCAACAAAGGTGCAAAGCCCCAACCATAACTCGAAATGCAAACTACACACACACAAAGCAACCTGGATGTACATCAAAACCTTGCCCCCCAACAATTGATCGATCCCCAGAAGCCAACTGGGTGTGTGGTTTTCAAGGGTGCCCTTTTCAGGTTCTTCTGAAAGGCAGCAACAAAAGGAAACACACATCTCGTGACACACAAATCTGCCTCCCTTTCAGCGCAAACCCCTACCCCTCAGGTGAGCAGGAGGGATCGATCCGCAAAGAAGAGGTGAACCACGTCCAAGTCGCGCAGAAATCCTAGGTCCTCCAGATTTGAGAGGTCAGAATAAGTTGGTACCAACCTTTTTCAGTCTACTTAGTAGCAGAACCCTCCCCCAAAAAAGAAACGGTAAAAGGGCACCTAGCTGGGGACCCATCAACAAGCGCCTCATGTTGAAGCATCTCAGGCCATGTCCGTGGCCCCGGGCTCAGCACAAAACGCGCGAAGCCGAGGTCGCAGAGCTTGGCGTAACCCCGGGAGTCAAGGAGAACCTGACGGGTGAAGGGGGCGGAGGGCCGGGGTTGCCTGGGGGTCGGGGGGGTCGGGGGGGGGGGGCCCAGGGCCGGTCCGAGAAAAAACAAAACAATTGCAGCATCCGCCCAGATGGAGAGGCGCGCTCTGCAAAAAGGCGACCAAGAGAGGTGGATGTTTAAAGCAAAGGCAGGGGCTCCTTGTGTGTGTGACCTATGAACATCACGAAAGATGGATCTTTAAAGCCGGCAGGGGAAGTTGAAACGCAGGGACTCTCGTCCCATGCGACTCAGAAGGTGGCTGCCCAAGATGCGATCTGATCGGGGATTTGGGCAGAAATGGGCCCCAAACCAAAGGGGAAACCAAAGGAAACCAAAAGGAAACCAAAGTCAGCAAGGGAAACCAAGGAAATTAAGGGAAACTAAAGCAATTGTCTGCCTGGGTTTCCTATTCGAGGCTCCGAGCAACCCTGGAACCAGATAGCAAGAGGACCCCCTGCCAATGTCCGACACATGTGTTTTGATTGGAGGTTCGGAGCGACCCTGAGTGTGTTGGAGTTAGACACTGGGAAACAAATACAGCATCATTTTGGAACAAACCAATGGATCCACTACAATCCATCAGACAAAATAATGGGTGGGGAATCAATTCTGGGGTTGGAATCAATGTTGGGTTGGATTTATTGTATTCATCTCTATGTATTAATTATGTCCTCAAATAGGAGAGTCCTCCACATGGTTAGTGCTCGTGTTGCCTTCCTTTAAAGCAAAGCCGAGTTTGGGGTGCTCACATGGTTTCACCACTTCAGGGCATGCACGTTTTGCTACCTTCCATGTGCATTCTTGCCAGGGATCCGAATCTTTTCAGGAAACCTAAACCCCACAAAAAAAAACTTTCCGGTTTTTGAAAAGAACGCTGGTTGAAAAGAATGGTTGCAAGGAATCAACCCCTAGAGGTTTAAGTTACGCTCCGCTTCGTCCGCTCCATGAAACCAGCGAGGCTGTGTTCGTCGAGCGCCCGGGGCTCAAGTGGCAACCGTTCTCTATGCCCAAATCCCAACAGTATCCAAAGGGGTTCCAGAAAACCACACATATATGCTGGACTATGCCCAAATCCCAAGTCACTACAAAAGGCAGGAGTTGAGTGCCTGGCCGATTAAATGGGATCCCATTGGTTTTGACCCACAGCCATGTCCAAATCCCAAGTACCCAACCGAAAAAGGCAGGAGTTGAGCGCCTGGCCGAACCCAACTTCAAACGCCGACCCGGACCCTCAAACTGCCCTTTAAAATGGGTTACAACCCATTTTTAGGGCCAGTTTGAGGGTCCACGCAAGAGGTGGACCCTTTTCCAAAGAGTCTGCTTTCGTGAGCCTTCCATTTGCCTTTTCTCGGCAAGGAATCGAAACATCTGTCAACAAAAAGTTCATAGAGTTATAATTTGACTAACCCCCATTGAGTGAATGGGCGTCAAAATGGTCCAACATACTTCCGAAAATGTGCATTGGCCGAGACAATCTCAAACTTTCGTGTGTTGTTTGCGCTAACACGGTCTTCCCCCAAGAATGCTTGTCCAGAAACTCGGGAAGTGAGAGCCAATGTGTAGCAGTGGCTGCAGGGCTTGGCTATTATTCTGGGTAATGCTATTATTGTAGGGGGTCGCCACTTTCTGAGCCTTGCTGTGCAGAAGGCCATGCAAAGATGAACAGTCTCAGGTTTCAGTACAAGCTGAGTAATTGGGATTGCAATGGGATTCAGGATCTCAACTTGGCCATGTGCTAAAACTGTGTCCCCCCCAATTCTAGTTGAGTATTGGGGGCTTGGGGTGCTGGGGAAGCCTGATTCTATCACACTCGGAGAGTGTTGTGGTCTTTTTTGAGGAGGCTGTACCAACTTCAGTCAGGTAGCATCTGTCATTTGGGATACTCCAAATATATATATATATATATGTTCTGAGCCTCTCCATACATTCTATAGTGATCATCTCCATACCTTCAAGCCCCAGAAGCTGAAGCTTGTGTACATACTGGACGCGAAATCCGTCACTACTTTGAAACCATGGTTGGAACTTCCGTTTGTTGGAATTTAATACTGTGGATGGACAAAACCCTGCACCACTTCGAGACAAAGGGTCACCATCGCTTCTTGGTATTTACAGGGGAATCATTCAAGGCTTTCTTGGGTGGTGCGAAATGGATTGCATCCATCCACAGTATGGGCATCGAATCATTCCGCCGTTTCATGGATTTCGCCATCCACGGATTCTGGCACATTGGGCGCCCGGCATTCTCGAGCTTCAGGTCTCTGTAGGCAATGCGGCGCTCGTGGAGATACTCCAGCGCCTAAAGAACAACACATATGGCCTGTGGATGCTGTGGATGGAACTGCGAAATAGTTTAATGTACACACATATATATATATATATATGCTACCCCCCCCTCCCAAAACCCGTGTTTTGGCATGCGTGCATGCAGAAGGCACTCCTTTTGAACCAGGGCCCCGAGAAAGCCTGCATCACACTCACTGGGATGGCTTTTTGATGAACTTAGTCATCAACCATTCGCACAGTGTCCCAGATGCAACCCACATATCCTGGTTCCTATACCAGTACTGATACTGTGCAGAACGAAGCTTTGCTCGTAACAAAGAAGACCCTACCTTCGCATTCTGGTTGATGGTCAACCTGTCCTTCAAAAACTTCCAGGCCCGATCAACCACCTGTGTCCCAGACTTCACTGTCATCATCTTCTTCGTGATCGGGTTCTTGTGCTTGCGAGCTTTACATAGGTCGGGGCCTTCCACTTCCACTGACCCTTGACTTTGACCCGCTTCTTCCCGTGGACCACCTTGTCGTGGAGCACCCCAGGCACCCTGGTCTTGTAGCTCTTGGCCGAGTCAGTGTGCAGGATCACCTTCTTGTCCTGCAACCACTTCTTTGCCAAAGGAGTCCATTCCACCTTTCTGATGGCGCCAGGCCCGGGAGCTCTCTTGGCCGACTCCCTGGGGGACAGCCTGCTCAAGACAAGTGTCTCCGGGTGGCCACGTTGGACTATGCCACACCACTGCTCCCAAACGACCGGGTTCTTGGGGTCAGGGGCTTTGTTACCAAGGTCCATGCGATCGAAGGTCGTCTCGTCCGCCTCGACATCCGCCCACTTCTGGTCCTTGCCAAAGACAATGTCCTTCTCCTTTGCCTCCACCCATGTCTTGCGAGCATGACACAGCCTCTTGTCAAGGTCCTCGACCATCTTGTGGTTGACATGAAGAAGACGATGGACCGCAGGGTTGGAAATGTTGTTGAGCTTCAACATGAGGAGGGCTGCCTGTGTCTGCAAGGGCTGCCTGTGTCTGCCTGAATGGTATTGAGGAATTGCCAGAGAGTTTCCAGAAAGCTTCCTGGAAAACTCAGTTTGTTTGCAGTTTGTTCAGTTTTGCAGAGAGTTTCTTGTCTGAATTGTATTGAGGAATTGCCAGAGAGTTTCCAGAAAGCTTGATTGAAAACTGAAAAAACAGCCTGACAACTGAGGGTTCTGGCAGATTCAGGTTTTTTTTGTCAGAAAACACAGTAAATACCAGTGTTTTCAGACCGAACCTGGGTTTTTTTGGGGGGGGTACCATATATATATATATATGTATATATATATATATTTATATTTATATGTAAATATATATATATATATATATGTAAATATATATATATATATACACATTAGGCTTTTCTTGTTCCGCACCACGAAATGGAAACCCATGAGGTTGAAACCATAAGGTGGGTTGGAGTTTACAGAGGAATGAACATCATTCCGTTGGGTTCCTGAACGATGCAGCGAAGCAGCGAAGCAAACTCTGCGAAGGTCTGAAGCCCAAAACCATGCAAATGAATCACAAAACACATCGGAAGTCCGCACCTGGGTTCAACAAGTGTGGCTCAAGTGGGACGTCACTCAAGTCCCCAACCTTCCGCAGCATGTCCCTCGGGCGCAAGAGTTTCATAGACCATGTGTCCAGAACGGTCAAACTTCATTGGATCTGGATCGAACTCTTCAAACCGAATGCCCAAAAAGAATTCTGGGAGCCTCAAGAAATCCTTTGATGTGGCACAACCCAAAGCTATGAGGGTGCGTCTTGTTTTTGAGGGTATAGCTTTAAGGGGAACCAACAGAAAAACCGAGCCACCCACATGACTGCCCTGGATCTATCAACCGACAGAGGCGGTCCAACACCGCAATGGATTCCCGCGTCATTCCATTTACCAGTGGAGGTAATCAAGGAAAGCATGAGCAATTGGCTCATAGTTCGCACACGAATCGGTGGAATCCCTCGCCACGAAAAAGGCGATCTGTTTTTCTTTTCTTTTTTTTGCAACTACAAGGTTTTCCCAAAAAGTTTAAGGGCGAACTCAGGGAGTGAGACCTCACGTTCTTGACCCTGATTGTACCGATGGGAAGAGGTTTACTAGGGCCGGCAGGAATTGAACCTGCAACCTCCCCAGCAATTCTGGGGCGCGCTGCCATTGTGCCACAGCCCCTTCTCACCACATTGGATCTCATTCAGACGGGCTGAAGTATGGAATTGCTTGCTTGCCTTCACTTTCTGTGCACTTTCCTCTTTTTTTGTTGCTCGGGCTGGCCAAGTTGAGCACCAGCGTCACGCAGCCACAGTAGAACATGGCGGCGCTGCCTGAACGGCGACTTGTTTGAGTGCAGTACCCGTGTCTTCAACGACCAGGGCTGACATGCGTAAGTCCAATTCCTCATGGTTCAATTTTGACCCATACAGAGCTACGTGTGTCTTTTCTGGAACCCTCATAGAATTGGCAGATTGGTCTTGCTTGTGGTTTCCCAAAACAAATAACCGGCACCACCAAAAAGCACGAGCCACCCACAACATTGCAAGCCCACAAGAAGCCAGGAGCATTAGAACCACTCAAAAAGAATCGCCGCAATTCCGGATGCCTGGCGGCCGGTAGCTGCGTATTCCGTTGCCATACCAACAAACTCCAATCATACCAGCTTGAAACCATGGGTTGAAGCCCCTTGCTTGGTATCTTACAGGGCAATACCCTCCCTCCCTCTAACATGGCACCTGACAGAGGGTCCCTTGAAGAGGGCCCCTTGATCTTCCAGGTACCCGCTCACAGGTGCCATGTTGTTGGGAGGGGTAATCATTCGGGAAACCATGACACATGCTTGGGTCAGGAATATTGATCCACCCCACGGGGGCTGTCAGTCACAACGAAAAAAAAACACCACCGGACAGGTTCTTGCTTGCTCCCTATGTTCCCGGACAAACACCCGCCTCCAAAAGAGTGCCCTCAAGTCACACAAACGGCTTCTGGCCCTTGGCTGTGTGCCTTTTGGGGTGCTGGTCTTTTATAGTTTGTAAGAAAAGCAACGGCACACCGGGCCGGTTTGAGACAGAGCCAATGCTGCATGTGCTTCATGCCGTTACTTCTTTGAACAGTTCCCCAAAACAGAGTGGTCATGATCGACAATGACAAAAAAGATCACGCATTCCGGAGTGCGTTTGCCAAACAAACGTCGCCAAGACCTTCCTTAAGGCCTTCACCAATCCGGACTTCGGGCTGTATCGTGTGGATTCCCTATGCCTATTGCAAACCAACCCACCGCATTGGCTCTTAGTTGCATGAGTTGCGGACAATACAACTTAACGTGTTCCCGAAGAGGACATGGAGAAATTCAGCAACTGATGGCCCCCTTCTCATCTTCCCCCCCCCCCCCGCAAAAGCACAATGATTAACTGCCAGATGTGTTTTGTGCCGGTGCTGATATTGAGGTCATGCCTTCCGTTTTCCGCAGGTCCACTCAAAAACAACGACTATTTGGCAACCGTTTTCCTCTAAAGCCGGGGCAAACCTTCAAAGTAGCGAATCGCGCGCAGGGCGTCCGGGTCAACAAATGGTGGACACAGGCGCCACGTCTGATACTGGTGAATCGATCTATGGCATAAAATCAAGCAAAACCAGTGATGCTATTGGCAACCCTGGTAAATGGATGGCAGAAAACCAATCTAAACCAGAACCCATCTGTTTCTATCCAACACCTAAAAAGGACACACATGGTCGTGCGCGTGGAACACTTTGCAGTCCCACTTCAAACAACCAAGATACCCCATACATTCTGGCACCTGCATTGTCCAAATGTTTGCGGATGTGCAGCACCCATAAAGTATCATCAGTGAGCACTTCAAAAGGGGCCTGAAAACGGGTGCCCTTTGATTTGTTCGGTTGTAATTTCTCCCTGTGGGTTGGAACTGGCCATGGGAAATACCACGTTGCTTGATGCCAAGCCGGGTCATGACTACTTTATCACTTCCAAGGGTGTCCTTGGTACTGATTGCGAAATCCATGTCGCACCGAACTCAGACACCCTGGAGGATTCGATATGGCGTCTCAAAGCGCTGCGAACGGATTTCCAGAACGCCCCGATCCTGCCGATGAGAAAAGCCTGTCCTTTTAGGTTGGAAATAGATGGGATTCCCTGGTAGATCATTCCAGGTTCCACCAGGTAAACCAGGAATCGAAACCCCTCTATTTTTCGACCAAAAGAACCAAAAAGGGAGCCACCTATGCCCAGAACACCCTGGAACCCTTGCGGGAAACAACCCTGAAAGCCCCAAACTTCAACAGAGGCTGTCTGGGCACAGACCCCATAGATTGTAGCTGTTGGTAGAATTGTTTAAACCACCAGGTAAACCAGGAATCACATTTTGTTCCGACCAAAAGAACCAAAAAGGGAGCCACCTATGGAGAAAAGGCCCCGATCCAACTCACGACTCAGCAGTCGGCAGCTTTTGCTTTTTTGTTGTTGCCTCGCCTCGAGGCCTGTCAGACAGAAGCACCTGAAGCGATCGATCTAAAGACCCAGTGCTTTCCTGTGACATCTGCCACCAAGTGGGTGCGTCTTTCTTGGAGTTGGAACCCCCTTTTTGGGTGGTTGAAAAAAGGGAAGCCAAACATCTGTTGGCATATTTTCACCCAATTGGGTGTGCCTTTTTTGGAGTTACCCCTTTGTTGGCGGTTGAAAAAAGGGAAGCCAAAAGGAAAACCCACCATTTTGGGGGGTCCCCTTTAAAGAAGAAACGCTCATTTGGGGGCATCAAAAACTTTGGTGTTTAGAGTTGGGTTTACGGCTGGTTGAGGTTGGCCTAGAGTTTGCATAGGTTTGTGCTGGCTGGTCTAGGATGCTTTGGTACTGGTTTCGGGTGGCTTTGTGGGTTGGTATAGGGTTTGCTTAGGGCTTGTTTCGGGTTGGTTGCATGGTACGATATAGGGATGATTCAGGGTTGTAGGCCGAGTTCCGTGGGGGGTTTGGTTGATTTAGGGTAGGTTTAGGGTAGCCATCATGTGGGCTGTTCATCATTTTAGCCTAGGGCAAAGATGCAAGATATTACCAAGCGTCGATCATCCATTTTGGGCGAAACCATCTTTGCCAAAACGGAACTCCAGCCTTCCATCGAGTTGAACACGCCCCTACACAACCTCCAGTAGATTTCCAGTGGACAAACATGCGATTCTGTTGGTTGCATTTCAAGAAAATGCCCCGCCCAAAAACCAGAAAAGCGGACACCTTGCTGTGGTTGCTTGATTTTGAAGGACCACCCGCACAAAAGATTCACAAAGGCAGGGGGTGTTGCTGAGGGAAAAAAACATTGGCCGGTGGAGTTGACCCTTCCGAACTTCAATTTATGTTTCCTTTACACCCATGAAACACCTGGCCGGGTGAAAGGTTTACCCAGCCCAAAGCTTGAAGCAACACTTCCTTTTGCTTCAGAGACCCCCCTAAAACAAATGAGAACATATTCCAGTAGTGAAATCGCTTTCCTGCAAAACCAAGAGAAAACCATGATCAAAAAAGAAAGAAGAAACACATTTCGGCAAATGGAAGACAACGGTCAGAAAGCCGTTCTCGCTGGGGACTTCACAACGCAAGCCGCGCCTGCGGCTTGTCGCAGAGAAGCTGGAACAAATGCCCGCCCGGCGCCAGCTCGATTAGCATGTAGACCTCGGAGAGGACGGCCAGCTGCTTGGCTCGGCGGCAAAACAAAAAGGAGATTCGGGATGCGAAGTATGCGGAGACCGGGATGTCAATTGTTTACCAGGATGTCCTCTTCAGGTGATCAATTTACTGATGGTTTCCCCTTGAAACTGCCACTTTTGGAGGCTCCAGAAAGGGACATGGAGGAAGAAGGGGACATGGGAAACCACCCTTATAACCACTAAACCACCTGGCTCAAAATCACCAATTGGTAGGAAGCTGATAGTTGGTTGCAAAGGGCGCCAACTCTAATTTGGACAAGGGTGTCCGCTAGTTTCCCTTTTGAACCCCCACATAAGAATCAAACAGAAAGGCATGCCATTGTAGTACTTCAACCCGAGACAGGGTGCCTTAGACTTCCATTTGCTTAAGTCCGCGGAAACAATTAAACAATATGCATTAGTGATAGATTCCCTTTAAACAGGGGTCGATGAACCATATTCTTCAGCAAATGGAAGTAGACAGGGATCCTTACATTATACATTGCAACTTGTAAATGGTGGTTTCCCTTTGCTAAAAAAATAAAAGAAAAAAAGTGTTTCAAACGGGCAACATGTACAGTATCTTTTAAGGAGCTTCTTATCCAAAAGCCACAGAAGATGAGCTGCGCTTCCAGGCTGAAGCCGGAGGCCCGATGAATTTGGATGGATGACTTGCTGGTGCCATAGGAAGGAAATGAGACATGGAACGACCCCCCCCAAAAAAAAATCCTCCAACTGGTGGTTTTCTTTAGGGGGACTGGTTTCATTCCCACTTTCCCTACTGAGCACCAGCAAGATTGAGGAGGGTCGCAATCAAGGGTGGCGCTTTCACGCCTTTAGAAGACACCAACCTGGCTTCAAAAAAAAAGAGCAGAAGGCCATCTATTCCGAAGACGGAGGTCGAACAACTGAAAAGTTTCCTCTCTTGGCAAGGAAACAATCGACTTATTCTACTTTGGGTTTGATCTTCTTACTCTGCAAGGGTGCTGCCCAAGCTCAAGGGTCGGACTTGTCTTGCAAAACTTGGCACAAGCCTTGAGAATCGAGGAAGCATGGAGCAAACAGGTTGGTGGGTTTCCCTTTCTGCATGTTAACGCATCACCTTTTTAGACCTCGAACCTCGAGGTCGTTTGTCATTCGGAAATTTGGGGAGCGTCTTAGAGCGGGCACTTTTTAGGATAAGCATGGCATGGGTAAAGATATCTGTGAATGAACCGTTTCATGTTCGGTGGATGGACGCCTATAAATGTGATTGAATCGTTTAACTGGCCAGGAATACTCCATATACAACATGGGGCGGAGGTTCTCTCAAACCCCTGCACTAGCCTTGCTACCTTGGTATGGCAAGCAACTGTTTTTTGCAGCCCCCCACTCGCAATCAACAGAACCAAACAAGTAACCAAAAAGCAATGCAAAGAACACTCTTCGTCCTCCTGTTCGAGCTTTAAAGCAACCCAAAAATGGTACCCTGGAACAAGGTACTTAAAAGGGCATACAAGTGGATAGTAAGCCTGATTGTAACCCAAAATGGGGACTTAGAACCATGGTAAGTGGGTTGTTACCAGGCCTACTAACCACTAGGTAAGCACCCTGCCCCTTTAAGTATGCCCATATTTATGAGTGTCGCATGCCTCAATGATGAAAGAGCACAAAAGCGGCGTGACTCTGGTCACTGTCATGGAAGGCTCTTTGCCAAGTGCTTGATGTTGAGACGCCCCACATGTTCGAATAGCCCATCCAAACAGTCAAGTACAAGAAAGCAGCACGAACAAACAGACACAGACACAGACACAGACACAGACACAGACACAGACACAGACACAGAGACAGAGACAGACACAGACACACACACACACAAACAAACATCGCTGTTTAGGTAAGTTTGCATCCAACAAGACATCGATCCTACTTGCCCCAAATGGAAAACAAGCACCTTGCTGCTTTGTTAACCTTAAAGAACAGCCCCCGAACAAATTTAGAGCAAAAGGTGCCACTGGCTCGCAGAAGTCTCTTGGGGATGCAACAGGAATCCACGAATCAAACCCTAGACAAATTGATTTGTCTCACATCTGACCCCCCCCTCCACCAAAAAAATAACATGGGGGGTGTTTTGGGTTTCATGAATCGCGAGTGGCTCTGCAAACAAGCAGCATACTCGCTGTCCTGGTAGGAGCCAAAAAAGCCTCGAGACGCACTCTTGAGAAAAAAAAGAAGCAATGCCGCCCCAAAAAGGCCTTCGATCGAGTTGGCGATGCTCGGGGCAACGAAATCTGTCCCGACTTGCGGAATTCGTGACTGACAAAAACAGCAACGAGAGATATGGGTGCTTTGTTACAGGACCGGCCGCTCAACAAAACATTAGGTTTTCCTTCTGCTTTCTGAGCTTGCGGGGATGCTTCGCGCTGGCATTTGCTTCATCAGTTGTCAAAACCCTAGTACAGGGTTCATGGCCCCCCATCAAGCCCAAGTAAAGGGGTGTTTTGGCCATGACACACGCTCATGGCCATCTGCGACTAGGTCCTTGAGTGGAGAGGTTGGAATAAGGGTACCCTTTTTCTGCAGTCTATTTTAGTAGGGGAACCCTCCCCAAAACGAGTAAAAAGGCACTACTGGGGACCTGGGCGAGAGACAGGGCTGCAAATGAATCCTTACAGCCTCTCTGCTTTTGATCTCCGAGCTCTGGAAGTCAGGTGCATGTCAACACGGGCCAAACCGCTCGCAGGTCTGTGGGCGTGTCCCTAAAAAGCTGCCCAGTTTAGATGACGAATCCCAGACAATATGTTGCTGCTATTTGCCGACATTCGCGAACGTTGGCCTGAGAAGGAACATTGGGGTTTATAAGGCCAATGTTTCTCTGAGAGGCATATATCCAAAATGCTGGTTCGACAAATGCATGTTCGACAACATGAATGTACCCCAAATTTGGCATACATTTGGCCCACATGTTCAAATGTATGTCACAAATAGCATACATTCAGTCCGACAATCACGCCAAGTCACGCCTAATCACGCCCAATCACGGCATCCTACAAAGTCATAGATTCCGATAAGCCCAATGTTGCCAACATATTCCTACATACCGAATGTGCTCTGAGAGGCCTATATTTGAAAGCTAGTAAATATGACCAACATGGAGTGTGTGGGAATCACGGGCGACCTATTGAACGCCAAGCAAACGGATGGATGTTGTCGTGTTGTTGCTTTGTTTCCAACCTGCACAATGTTGGCTAGTCGCGGGAGAGCATGTTTCAAAAAGCGTTGAGCTGCTCCAATCACGTGCGAGTCAATTCTGCCAACCTCTTCCTGGGGCACCACACGAATGATGAAGTCGCTATCCATCCTTGCAGCACAACATCCTAAGAGCCTTCTTCCACAAATAGGCTCCATGTGGGACATGTGTTCAACAGCATGCATCCCCAACATCTCTGTGTTGCCCAACACGTCCTTGACGGGTGTGAACAAGACAATCACTCGCACAGGCCAACACTGTTCAAACATGTCTAAACCACTATCGTTTAAACAACCTGCTTTAGCTTCCGGATTCCAACAGATTTGAAACCAACCCTGCTGGAAATCATTAGAAAGCAAAAATCGCAGCACACACACACACACGGTAAGCGAACAGCAGGGGACTTGCCAGCTCAGGGCTCATTTCGACCGAATCGATTGTAAGGGTAGAGATTTGGGGATGTGACTGTTTTTTGACAGTACCATTCTCACCTTGGGTAGAGGGTAGAGGGTCAAAACAGAAGGCTAGACGAAAGGCAAAGCTCAACACAATCTTTCGTAAAGGTGCAGCACAACCCCGACGACCGAGCGTTCTGTTCTTCGGATTTCCACATAAAAAAAGACACATGAAGCGACTCCAAGCAATTTCAACCCGTCTTAGCTTCTTCATCCAGCTGCTGAAGGATGCAATTCAGGCCGTACTGAGGCCTTGTTGAGAGCTTTTGTGAAAAGGGGGAGGCACCCACACAATCGTCCCAACCCTCCCAACCCCCTCCTCCCAACTCTCCCAACCCTCCCAACCCTGCCAGCCCCCACAACCCCCCAACCCATCTAGACTTCTCGAACGACTGTTCACAGATCCAAGACTCAGTTGCTCTGGCTTCTTGGGGTTTTCTCTCCGTGAGCCGCAGAAACGAACTGCCTTTCTCTGGCTGAGCGGCCAGGTGTTGCCTTGATCCTGGTCCTACGAAGGTTCGCCCCGTTGGGCAAGTGACATTCCCCAGAGCTTCTTGCCCCGGGGATTCGGAGCACTCGCTTTGAGGCTCTGGCATGGACAGGATGTCCCGCTCCGCGCAGACTTGCTTCTCGGCGTTGGCCTAGCGAAAAGATGCCGACTCCTCGGCCATAGCAAGGGGTGCTACTGTGGATGGACAAAATCCTGCACCACTTTGAAACCATGAAAAATCATGGTTTGTTGGTATTTACAGGGGAATCATAATTCCAGGGTTTCTTAGGTGGTGCAAGATTTCGTCCATCCACAGTAGTACTTGGTTCAATGGAGCGTTTTGTAAGGCTGGTATACATACAAGCCTTTACTGTGCCGGTAGAACCAACATCAAGGGGATTTGGCGAAGCTCATGGTCAGTCACCTGAACTTGGGCACCTGCAAAAACGACACACCGTTTTTAGCGGTTACCTCTCCGAAGACGCAGCGTCCAAGGGGTGGTTTATGTAGTGAGGGATGTGTTCAAGTCCCAGGAAGACTCAAATGAAGCTTTCCACTTGGGTGTGGGTCAAAAAAATACCCAATTGGGAGCCCTGGTAAATGGAAACATGCACTATTACCTGCGGTCTCCTGGCGGCTTCATTTTGACCCATACCCACATCCAAAATGTTCTAGTTCCCCGGGTTTAGGGTGTTTAGGGTGTTTAGGGGGGTAGGGTTTAGGGTTTACCAGGGATGCTTCCTTATGGAAAGTCTCCGGAAAGACAGGGTTCATGTTTTTTTGTTTTTTGAAAAGAACGATGGTTGAAAAGAATGGGGGGACCCTAGAACAGGTGCCATGAACAGGTACCTGGACGCTCAAGCTACCCTTGACATTGGGACATCATGGGGTGATAACCCCATTTTTAGGAGTAGTTCAAGGTCTGGAGGTTGTATATACCACTTAAGGGGCGTTTATTGGTGTTATAGCATCCACACCTCCAACAACCATACTTGGAACTGCCAACTCACCTGATTTCTCGCGGTCAAGTCCTTTGATTGGAAAGGACCCACATGGCAGCATCGGGTAAATTTGGCCAAAAAAAGAAGCAGGGCATCCAAAACCAAGCACGCAATATTGCAATCGACCCCGCATTGTCAATAGAATATCCTCTGGTTGCCTCAAAACCAATCCAGTCGCATTCCACTTGAAAGTACATGGTGAAGGCCAAGTTGTTGGACAAACAAACAAGCGGGGATTCGGAGGGAGCGAGGATGTTTTGGGGATTCCCTTGGCGCCATTTCTCATCTCAAAACTTCGTCAAGGTGCATGAAACGGGGGAATCCTCCCGTATCCCTGGCTCCCCCTGTATCCCTGCTAGTTGGTTTCCCTGAATGTTGGAGCCGCCTCCGCATCTGCATTCAAGCCAACCAATTTTCAGTCGACCATGGACCAGGGCAAAGCCGCCGAGGCCTGCAGCCAAGAAGCCGAACAAGCATAGGTGTCCTTTTAAGGGAAATAGATGGCCCTGGTATAGATGACGAAACTACCAGGTAAACCAGGGATCGAAACCCATCTATCTTTCGACCAAAAGAACCAAAAAGGACACCTATGGGAACAAGAAGCCGAACAAGGACTATCAACTAGGTCCTCCAGATTTGAGAGGCTAGGGTACCCGATTTGTTTCCTGTAGTCTGTTTTTAGTAGGGGAACCCTCCCAACCAAAAAAGGGGAGAAGGGCAGTACTGGGGGACCTAGATCAAACAACTTCTCTCCAGTGATATTGTCAGTTGGTCACTTGTTTGCTGGTTGCCTCGCGCTGCCAAGGCGAACAACCCATGGCGACCATACAGATGGAGGCGTTCCTGTTGATTTTTCCGTTGAACCCGGAAAGGGATACCTGGACCCTTAAACCGCTCTTCAGAATGGGTTAGCCGCCCCGCGATTATGGGGTGATAATCTATTTGAGGGGTAGTTTGAGGGTCCAGGTACCCTGAACAAAACACGCGCCAAAAACACACACCCAGCCATTCCGGGCTCCAGACTTGCACGATGTAGCCCTTGGACAGCCGCTTGAGCGCGTACTCGACGTCTGGCGGCTTTGATTTTCCGTGAACCCCAGAAGGGTTGCAAACCAACGAATCAAAGGGCTGCAGAGTGTGTCTTTGTTGGAGGGTGCCAGTTCTCAATGGTGCTAAAGGAGAACCAAAAAGAAAGCCCCACCATTTTCGGGGGTCCCCAACAAAAGGAACCACCCCACAAACCCGCTGTCAAGTCCCTTTGAGGCCGCCCTGTCGTGAGAGCAACCTGCTTACCATGTGTCCGATGTTTGAGGATTGCCCTGCATAAAACTTTGGCTGACGTTGGAAGCGGAGCAAACCAATCTCAAATTTTAGCAATTAAGTGGTTGGATTTCCCACTAAACCACAATAAGCAAAAATGTAAAATGTTTCCCAACAACAACCATAAAACTGCCAGCTGTTCAATGGCCCATTGACACTTGGCTAGGTCCTCCAGTAGAGAGAATAGAATAAGTGTACTCTTGTTTTTGTAGTCTATTTTAGTAGGGGAACCCTCCCCCAAATAAAGGGTAAAGGGGCACTGGGCACTGCTTCTCTCCCCCTCGCCAAGTAAGGGGTCCGGGGAAGAGCTGAGAGTAGGTGAAGCTGCAACCCTTGCTTCTGTAGCTTCTTGGGAACTCAGGAACAACCATATTGTCCAAGAGAGGTTTAGCAACCTGTAGAAAGAGTGGGTTCCAAAGTTGGTTTCCTGGGACTAAAACCTTCCAACATCCTAAACATCCCTAGTCTAGTCCCCTGACCCAATGCCCCCCCCCAAAAAAACCTACCATAGCTGTTGGCCCCAGTAAACAAATACTTGTGTAGATTCTGGTCCGCACTTAGTGAACCTGATGTAAAATGATGCGAGCCACAGTCAATAGTCAGTTGACCTCCAAAACCAAAAAAAACACCAAACCACCCATTTTGAGGCTTGAAGACAAACCAGATCTTCGGCGCACAAAAAACAAATCCCCCAAACCCGCAAAGGCCCTATGAGAACTTGAGTGAGGTGAGGTGATGTGACTGACGCAGTGAGCATCATCTAAACCTCACTTCCGATCGACTGGATTGGCCCCAAAAAGTGGGGGGGGGGGGGGGGCAACTCCTTGTTTACCACTCCAAGCATCCAAAGAAACGGGGCGGGGGGGAGGTCCCAAAAAGGTGACAAGTGCTACCACTATAAGCATCTATAAACGGTTGGCTGTCCCAAAAAGTTCGCAAAGTCCCGTTGAACTGGGCGATGCCAACCCCCCCCCCCCCAAGCAGCCTGGCTCGTTGCGGCGCTGGCAGAGGTAAACCGCACCGAAGCCGCCCTCACCGAGCACCGCTCTGCGCCTCACAAACGTGTCGTCCACTTATGGAATCTGCATGCGGATGGACGAAATCCATTTCGCCCCACCGTTCAGAAACCCTGGAATGATTCGAATCCCATGTACATACCAACCATGGTTTCAACCATGGTTTCATTTCGTGCTGGGAACACGCAAAGTGGGCTGTCCGTTGTCTGATCCCCTGCTAAAATCGTTCAGTCACACATGCAGGGCTTTGGGCTTGGCTGCCCCGGTCAGACATCTATTCAAAACCCGCTATTAAAATGGTCGTAATCCCAGAACCATATAAAGAATTCAGCAGGTGGCCGCAGCTATTCATTGTTTGGATTGTCCCTTCCTAACCTTGGCTCAACTGAGATGAAACAAATGACCATCGCTCATGTCTGGTCTTGCAGCCATTTGACCTCCAAAACCCATTTTGAACCACCAAGCCACCCATTTTGAGATCCTTCGGTTCCCCGCTCAACCGAGATCCTTCGTATCTTTCAGGCGCCGGCTCCAGCTCTTCGAAGGGGATCTCATCTTTCACCCGCTGGGCCGCCGCAGCGCCCCTATGCTCGATCAGAAGGCGCCGAGCCCAGGCGAGCTGAAAATACCAGAAGTGGATGTATGTGCAATACGCATATGTATGATCCTATGCCTTGTGTATTTTTGTTTGTGTGGGTGAGTGTTGGCGATTGTGTCTGTCTGTCTGTCTTTCTCTGTCTCTGCCTGTCTCTGTCTGTCTCTGTCTGTTTCTGTGTCTCATATATCCATTTATCACGTCATGTTGACAGTGTATTAGTAATCCCCCCCTATTAATCCGGTCCGGGTGGACCCCCCCAATACTAAACAATTCATATGAAAAACCCCCCTCAATAAAAAATAATCCAAAACAACCCCCCCCCCAATTAGACCGGTCCCTCCAATTCCAGCAATACTAAATCAAATGGAAACTCAATTCCAGATCTCAAAAGGAAGCCCCAGCAATACTAAATCAAATGGAAACTCAATTCCAGATCTCAAAAGGAAGCCCCAGCAATACTAAATCAAATGGAAACTCAATTCCAGATTATTTAGGGGGTCAAGGCAAAAAACCTTCCAAAATCTTGCCCCCCCAAAACCTTCCAACCTTCAAGGGGGGGGGGGTTACAGACTAATACGGGGTCAACATTATATGCTTTTGTCATTGAGGGCACTCTTTCTGGAGTTGATTGAAAGATCCCCCCCTTCGGGGGGAAGGGGGAGGGGGTCCCCCAATTCCATTTTTATATTGTTCCCATAAGGGGGACATGGAAGCATAAATGAGTCATAATCAAAACCCGTTACTTATTAAAATGCTCTATCCAGAACCATGTAAGGAAGTACAAAGGCGACTGCACCCGTTTATGGTTGGGATGATCCCTCACAAACCTTCATCTACTCGAGTTGTGATTGTGGCTCACGGAACTGTCCAGGGGTCGAAATCCTCGCTCCGCCAATTCCATTCTTAAGGGGGAGTTTGAAACTCTAAAGTGACACATGTCGGGCCATCAAAGTTTGGGTTCCCTTGGCCCTGGTGTTCAAGCTTAAAACAAAGGGTTGGGTTCATATAACCACCATTGTTTACCTAAGGATTGTCAACATCCAAATTGGGTCCTTACCTTTTTTAATCCGAGCAGACCCTAGGCTTGGGCTTGCTATGCGCGACCAAACCCGGTTCAGCGATGGAGCCATCGCCTGTGATAATCCACCAAGGACGCCCTGGTGCCCGGCCTCGCAAGAAGGATTGGTGGAAACTTGTGGGGATGGCTGGCATCCCTGGGTTTCCCTAGCATCCAAGAAATCCCGAACAATTCGGGCGCAACACCGCAACACCCCTCCTTTTGGACAACATATGGATGGACTATCCTGGAAGATGAACTAAACCAAAACCAGTGGGAGCCATCTAATTCAAAGCGCCCCCCCCCAAAAATAAGAACAGGTTTTGAGAACTCCCAAAACCAAGGCCATGTTGGGCAGGGGCGACCCCATTTGAGGCAGTGAACGGCGCAGGCAAAATCAGATTCCTCACCGTGCAGCCATAGGATCGCTTGCGCAAATTCATGCCGTGGCTGGGAAGGGAAGCAAAGGAGGAAATGGATCTGGGGAAAGAGCGAAACTCAGAAATGGGGTGGGTGGTGGGTTTGTTGGTGGGTTTGTTGGTGGGTGGGTTTGTTGGTGGGTGGGTTTGTTGGTGGGTTTGTTGGTGGGTTGGTGGGTGCGTGGGTGGGAGGGTGGGTGGGTGGGTGGTGGGTGGGTGGGCGGGCGGGTGGGCGGGTGGGTGGTGGGTGGGTGGGATGGTCGTGTAGTTACTCCTGGGGACCTTCAACCTTGTGCTTTTCTTAGATTCTTAAATCGGTGAACTCGTGAAACAACTAACCCAGAGTGGATATATTTGACCAGTTGGCTTGACTTCCTTAAGCTCAGAAATCCGTCTTGGCCCACATCTTGGGGTAAACTACAACTCAAATAGTCAGGATATGTTTCATATGTAGTCGATGTTGGAAAATACCATCCCCCCTTCTTGGCAAGCGTTGGATCACACACACACACACACACACACACACACACACACGCGCGCGCGCGCGCGCGCCTCCCCACAGCGCCCACAACCCAAACCGAGTCATCTGCAAAAACTGCCAACATCGGCTTTGGGCGCATCAACTTGCTCACCTTGTATTGAAGGGCGGAGAAAGAGCCCTCATGTGAGGTCGTGTTGCCCCCAAAATGAAGGACACTGAGTTTATTTGCACAGACCTGGCTGGTATGGGCTCTCCGGCACTCCGAAGTCCGTCTCTTGGCCCTCCACCTAAGCTGCAGAACATGGGTTTTTTTCAGAGGCGCGCATGCCCTTTTCAGGTTGGTTTCTTAAAGGACCACCCACCATTTTGGAGGTCCCCTTATTCTCACAACCACGCGAGAAGTGACAATACCCATGATTCATCAACCCCTTGAGTTTCATTGGGGGGGAGGGAAACGGAAAACACACTCAGCCTTTGAGCAACTCCATTGGATCCATGGCTCCGTCGCCTGGGAGAGGTTCCCTTCTCAACCTTGAAAAGGGACTGCACTTGTGGTCTGTTAAACCTCCCCTTCCCGACACCTAAGATGCCGAACAAGATCCAGGGGCATGGTAAAACTCTTGGGTTTGGAGCGCCCCAAAAGACTGGCACCGGTTCCAACGCAATTCACTTGACACGCTTCGGCAAGCCAAGCCAGCACTGTCGGCACAGCGACCGCAAAATGGCCCAACCCGCAGCGAACCGAACGCGTGCCGACCTTCAGACCAACGCATGCAGGGAACCGCCATGGGCGATTCCAGTTCGGTTCCGGGGAACCAAAGTCCGAAAGTGGGCTGTTGCGCTTTAAGCCATTGGGTGCTGTTGACCCCTCTGCAAAAACCTTAACTTTGTGCGGGTCCAATGAGACATCCACTGTTTCCCAAACCAAAAACGACCAAAAACCCCACCAACTGGCCATAAAGACGAGGCGGAAGTGACTTGCATCATGCTAAACAGTGGGGCCAGCAGACTGCAAGTTGATCTTGCCAAGGCACCTTCCCGCAGCGATGAAAGCTTCCGGTTTGAGCAAGGTGCCACAAGCAAACACTACTCCAAGCTATACGCCACATTTCATCTGCTTCTGATTCTGCCTCAACCAAATGGGGTTCCTGGAAACACATCACAATGTTGTTGGTGCCAGTTATGCAGCACAGGCCCATGGACTTTCGTCTCTTGGTAGAGATGGTTATGAAGGAGCATGGCCACACATGTTTCCCCCATGAAACCAGGTAGAAACACCTGCAATGGGGCGGGGGTTGGGCGTTGTTCATATATGATTGTCGTTTCTTGGAGGGTCCCCTTGTTGGCAGGTGTTAAAGGAAACCAAAAGGACTACCGCAGCCATTTTGGAGGTCCCTAAAAAAACACTCACACACACACACACACACATTCCTGGCCCGCAAATGACCACGGGAAACTTTCCCCCCGTTTAGTGGCTGAAACATCACCTTGTTAGTCGCTTTCCAACCAAAATGGTCATCGCAGAAGGACCTTTGGTCAACCCCCGGAGACTAGGTCCTAGAATAGAGAGGGAAGAATAAGGGTGCCCGATTTCTTTTCTGTAGTCTATTCTAGTAGGGGAACCCTCCCAACCGAAAAAAAATGGGTGAGAAAGGGCACCTAGCTGGGGGACCTAGCAAACGTCGCGACCTGCGGGGATTTTTCCTTGGATTTGTCTCCGGGGGTAAAGCGACTCGATCCAAAGGCCGGGGCGTTCAGCGGCAGATGCCGCAGCAGCTCGCCGTCGATCACGAGGCAGCACCTGGGCAAACGGTCGACCGCCTCTGCCCTTCACCCTCTGCGATTCTGGCCTCAAAGTCGGGGCTCCATTTGTGGTCGGCTTTTGGTCCCCGAAAAAGGGGGGGTAGGGTCCATGAACTTGCTGGTGCGAGAGATGCCGGGAATGAGAAATGGAATGACCCCAAGAAAAAACCATCCAACTGGCGTCCTTTAAGGGAGCCCAAAACGGTTCATTCTACTGAGCACCAGCAAGATCAAAGGTTGCTGTTGTTTTCTTCCCACCAACATTTGCCTATGGATTGTCATTCTCCAAATTGGGTCCCAAGGCCATTCTTTTCATGGAAATCGGTTGAACCCTAGGGCCTATGGGATATTGTGAACCATGAAACAATCCAATTCTCAAAGGTAGTTTTTGTAGTTTGAGGGTATACATTCTTCTCTGACGCTCCTGCTGCATTTGGTTCCCAAGTCTCCCCTTTCGGCCCATTCTGATCTTTGAGCTAAAGGTTTGGGTTCCACTTGTGTGAGGACCCCCCCTCCCAGCTTTATTTGGCCACCGCCAAACTCCTTAACGGTCGCGCACAGGCTCAGAGACCCGGATTCCTTCGTTCGTTCTGCTTTTTGGAAGGACATCCGAAGACAAAACAGGGCGCATGGCCACATGGCCACTGAGACGGGCCCTGCGTCCTGGACGACAGTTGACACCGAAGCTTATTTAAGTCTCGCTGGATTTGGAATTTGCATAGAACACAAATCAACATTCCCAGCGATGCTTGGATTGACAGCTAACAATACAACGAACAGTGGGTTAATTTATCCTGGGTGGCTCCGTATTCCACCGATAAGCGGCTCAGCTCGTTCACGCTCGTCGAAATTCCTTGCGCATGGCTTTGACGCGCAGGCTCACGGCTCACGGGGTTGCTCAAAAACTGCGCAGGTTGAGTCGAGGTCGGAACGGAAAAGCCGAACGTGTTTCCTGCGGTCGATCCTGTCGGTTTTGGTCAAAGAGTGTAAGGATGGATTTCCCGGACCACAAGCTTGACAAACAGTACCACAAGAGTGTAAGATGGATTTTTCTTGTTCCCCGGACCTCACAAACAGTACTTTGGACTTTGGGTTTTGGTCTTCGGGTGAAGTTCCAGGACCACAAGCTTTGTGTCCGTGGACATGGGGGGAGTTCTGCGCCATCTACCATCTACCTTCACCCAACTGTAGCCACTCGGTGTGAGGCTTAGTTCACCAATCTGAACGAAGACATGGAGCTCAAGAAAGGCAGTTTCATTGTAGGATGTAGGTTGCAAACAAGCGGTAAGTGAGGTCGCGCGGACAAGATGCCCATGCAAACAGGGGGAGCAGTCATACTTAAAGAGCGGGCTGGAAAGTATAAGTGCTTAGCATCCCTGCTATACTCACAACATGAGAAAATCGATTCTGACCAGAGTGCCGGGTTACTAGCCATGCACTAAGCAGCCTACCTCCTTAAGTAGCACAGCTGAACCTCGCAGTGTGGCGGAATGAGCCTTGCCCGTGGCGAAAATTGGGAACCCCGGCAAGCCCGGAAGTTCCCGCAAGTGTGGCTTCGCGAAATCCGGCGCCACTTCTCTGTGAAAAATTCTCCTGACACACACATGCAGCCCTCAAAAAGAAAGACTAGTAGCAAATGGATTGAAGATCAACCCTCTCAAACCGATGTAGGAATCCACACGGCTCTGCCATCCAAAAAACGCGCGAAGCCGCGCGAGAAGCCGCGCGAGAAGCTCCGCGCAGATTCCCCGGGCGCGAAGGAAAAGCTTTCGAACATTCCGCGCTCATCGCTCGGTCTTCCGCCACTCGAAGGCCCACTTGCAGGTCTCCATTGCTGACATCATGGTGGCCATACCTGGGCTGGGGCCATGGCAGAGGTTCGGGGGAGTTCTTAAAGAGAAAAATCCTGGGTATTGCATTCCTCTAGGTCCTCCAGAGTTGAGAGGTTTGAATACGGGTACCAACTTTTTTCTGTCTGTTTTAGTAGGGGAACCCTCCCCCGAACAAGAAACGGTAAAAGGGCACTACTGGGGGACCTAGCCTCTCCCACGTTGGCACCTGAGGTTCGGAGACTTTGGTCTATTGGGAGGACAGGAGTTTCCTTCCGATTGGCTCCAGGAACCCCAACAAGCGGCTCAAGTCTGTGAGCTCAGGAAGTGAGGCATGCTTGAACTCAAGCCACCGCTAGAAATGGGCTATCACCCAAAAACTGTTTGGGGCAACAACCCATTCTTGACGGTAGGTGGGCGTAACCACCCTCCAACCACTGCTTTTTGGACACTTGGGATTTTGGACATGGGAAAGAGCAGTGTTTGTTTTGGGTGCTGGAAGGTGTGACAAAAGTCATTCTGGGCGTAATCTATCAGAACAGAACGGGGTACGGTACTGAACCAGAACGCCGCATGATTCCTGTCCTGAGAATAGTTTCTGTAGTCAAACCAAGCCTTCTGTAGGTTCATTTCGATAGGTCGAAACGGATTCTGTGGGCCAGGGCATCGTTCAGACCAACCCCAAGTCCCTTGTTTTGATCAAGGCGCAAATGGTCCCCAAACCAAAGGACACAGGAAAGTCGGGTGGTCCAACTTGCACTGCCTTGCGGCTGCTGGGTGTCCCCACGATGTAATTTATCGTCCTCCCCGCGCAAAAAACAATAGAGCATTTACAGGTGATCATATCGCTGCTTAAATGAATGGGCAAATCCATAACCACCCTAAGTACATGAATGTCTAGCTCTCCCTCTTTCTGAATGTTTCTCTTTTCTCTCTCTCTCTCTCTCTCTCTCCAAGAGCGTACACTCACACACACACACACACAGGTTGCGGGATACTGGTGGATTAGGTGTGCCGGATTTTCGAGAGTCCCAAACACTGAAAGGTAGAGACAAAAAATGAATGGCTAACAATCCGTCTGGTCGCAATTTCAACTTGCTGGTGCGAGAGATGCCGGTAATAAGAATTGGAATGGCTCCGAGCAAAACCATATATGGCTTCCTTTATTCGCGAATCCCCAAACGGTTCATTCCCAACACCTGGAACGGTCATTCCCTGCTGAGCACCAGATCACCAGCAAGTTTCGGCATCACCAAGGTCTATTGTTCCTTGTGAATCCAATAATAATAATCAGCATAATAATAATAATAAATAATAATATTAATAATAATAATATTAATAATAATAATAATAATAATAATGATAATAATGATACTACTAATAAAAGCGGACAGCTGCCACAGCCCCAGCACAAAGGGACAGCACTCCCCGATCACGAGGCTCAAGTCCACGAGCCATGGCTTTAGGGCTTGAACATCACGAAATTAATATAACTCAAATCCTGAAGTTCAAATCAAAGTCTTGAACCCATAGAGTGGAGTAAGTCAAAAAGGGGTCACTGGATTTCCCTTCCAAAGTCGATCAATTGTGATCAATATGTTTTTTTTGGTACTGCAACGTTTGGAGGTTCCCTTCGGGCTTCGGAACGGCTCGGAAACGTTTCCTCCAGTTTGACTGGGGTTCACCTGCCCGAGACCGTCGCCCGACGGCGCCATTCGGCGATTCCAAGGCGCCCAGGGGGATGCGCAGCAGGCGCGGGGCGAGACCACGGAGGGCCGCGGAGGGGTGGGCCCAAAGATAGCCGAAGATGTCCTCAACCCCACCCCGCACCACCCAACTCCCAACCCCCCAACTTCCAACCAAATTCAGGCCCCCAACCCCAACTCCAACTCCCATCTAGGTCCTATAGTAGAGGTTAGAATAAGTTGGTACCCCGTTTCCCCCCCCCCCCCCGTTTTTCGTAGCTATATTGTTAGCAGGGCAACCCTGGCCCAAAAAAGAGGAGAGAAGGGCACTGGGCCTAACCTCAAGTCTCCCACTCCCAGGGGACCCATTTGGAACCCGGAGCTCCTGGTAGGCGCCGGATTTGGGGCCAGCGGGCCTGAGCTTCAAAAAGGAGACACCCCTCTGTCTTTATTTGAAGCTACCTGGACCGGAACCTCCATGTTGTTTTAGTTCAATGAGTTACCCATGTTTAAGGGTAGTTTCAGGTGCCAGGTCCCTTTTCGACCAACACTGGGGGGTGCATTTTGAGACGTATAATTCTCAGGAAATAGGGTAGGAATGAACCTGATTCCCAGGGATGGGGGTCATTTCCTTCTCTGCGGTTTTTGGGCAAGCCAGCCCTCATTGAAGCCGACCGGAAAGACTAGGTCCTTTTCGAGGAATTCCTCTTCGCGTGAGAGGCTTTGCCTGGACCCTCAACGTACCCATCAAAAGCGAAAACAAATCGCCCTGATACTGTTGAGGCACCCTCCCATTGTTTGATTGGGTTTCTTTCAAGCTCCACCCTAGAGTTTAAACCACCATCAAAACAATGGGGGATCGTACAACCACATTCTTCACCTGAGTGTCATCCACGAAATTGGGCCATCCACCTTTTCATGGGGCCTTCGGAACCGCAGGGTCCAGGAAGTCCTTTCCCTTCGGGGAAATCTTGGTTGACGTTGGAAGGGGAGCAAACATTTATTGTTTTTTTTTGTTCAGTTAAGCGGGTGGATTTCAACCACTAAACCACAATAAGCAAAAATGGGAAAAATGGTTCCCAACAACCATGAAATGGGTGGCGAATTCACCTACCAACCAAAATGGGATCCGAACCATGTGAACCGAAACCGAAACTTAGCCTCCTACCAACCATGAAATCCGAAAGTTATTTCCCTCCGAAAGCTGGGCGCCAGGCGGCAACTCGCCTTCGGCGAGCTTCTGGCGCAATGTCTTGATGACGTCTGCGGGGGTGGTCACGAAGGCAGCCAAAACTCCTGCTGGAATCTTTTGGAGACTTCCGTTTGCTTAAGCCCCGTGGAAAAAAAACAAAAACAATGTCCAGTAGTGATAGAGTTCCTTTAAAACCAACAGGGGAAAATCAAACATATTCTTAAACAAATGGAAGAAGAAACTTGAACCCCCAAACCGACTTCGGTTGGTCCTTTTGGTGCGTGTGGTGAGA